TTCGAGATATTATTATCTCCTAGTAACTACCAAAAAAGATTGGAATTGGGCCTTAAGTAGAATGGTAGCCTTGAGCAAAAAAGCTCAGGGACAGTGCCCAGACCTGAGTTCAAGCCCCAGGATCAGCGCGTGCGCACACGCACACGCGCGCGCACACACACACACACACACAAAGATGTCAACATAGTCTTGGGTATACTATCACTCTTCCCCCTCTGAATTGTTGGAATATATCTTTCCTATAAGATTCCTAAATGCAGTATCACTGGGTAAATGTATTTGTAATTTTAAGTATTGCCAGATTCTATTTTCTGCCCATCTTGTTATTGGCTCAAGATTTGGCTTAATGTGCTAAGACTAGAGTGATCTATTTCTGCAGTGAAACAATTTCTTTTTTTCTTTTTTCTTTTGTGGATTGTGGGGCTTGAACTCTGGGCCTGGGTGCTGTCCCTCAGCTCTTCAGTTCGAGGTGAGTGCTCTATCACTTGAGCCACAGTGCCACTTCTGGTTTTTCTGGTGGTTAATTATAGATAAGTGTCTCAGGGACTTTACTGCTGGGGCTGGCTTTTGAACTGAGATCCTCAGATCTCAGCCTCCTGAGTAGCTAGGATTACAGGTAGGAGCCACTGACCCTGGGCTCAGTAAAATAATTTCAAGGCTGGTTAATTTCAAGGCTAGTTAACTGAAGACTTGTCTGTCTGAGGTGACTTTGAACTGCAATCCTTGGACCTCAGCTTCCTAGAATTATTGGTGTGAGCATTCAGCTTTCATTCAGCATTTTTCAAGAGGGCTTCTGCTTTTAGTCTAATTTCCAGATCATTTGTCTTGGCTCCTCCTTCTCTCTGCTTCCCTGACAGTCTGCCCTCAAGGCCTCAGCCTCACTTTTCACATGTGTCTCCTGGAGTGTGTTGAGGTTACCAATTGGCTGTACAAAGGTGGTGAAAGATGAAGGCCTTCTGGAATATTCTTACTGATATGGAGACTAGCCAGGGTAAACTCCAAGCCAGGATATAACATCTACAATGTGCCCTGTGATCCTGGCCTTCCCAGTGCAATTTCCATGTGCAATATGCAATAGACTTCAGAGTTTTTCACTGCCTGGGGTACCTGCAGGCTCCTAAATGCAGAGTTGCTGAGGCTTCTCCAACTACTCCTCCCACTGTCTGTGCCTGACTTCATTGCCAGAGTAGGAGGTTCTTCTAGTCCCTGACTTCTAGAACAAGCAGCTAGCTAGTCATTCTTACAAGGAGTGTAGAACCTATACCAGTTTGGCCTTGGTGACATGGGCTTTCTGTTCTTCTCCTGTAAAAATTTGGTGTGGTATATTATATTTCTTTGCAGCTTTTATAGGAAAATTTGGCTTAGAAAAGATTGTTTTGGGGGCTGGGAAGGTGGCTCAGTGGTAGAGTGCTTGCCTTGCATGCGTGAGGCCCTGGGTTCGATTCCTCAGCACCACATAAGCAAAAAGAAAAGAGCCAGAAGTGGCGCTGTGGCTCCAGTGGTAGAGCGCTAGCCTTGAGCTGAAGAGCTGAGGGACAGCGCCCAGGCCCAGAGTTCAGGCCCCATGACCGAACCCCCCCCAAAAAAAAAAAAGAAAAGAAAAGATTGTTTTGGGTTAGGAGTGTGGCTTAATGGTAGAGTGCTTGCCTAGAATGCATGAGGCTCTGGGTTCAATTCCTTGGTACCACATAAACAAGAAATAAAATTATTTTGTGCCAGTCCTGGGGCTTGAACTCAGAGTGTAGGTATTGTTCCTGAGTTGTTGGGTTTTGTTTTTGTTTTTTTCTTTTTCTTAAAGCTAGCACTCTACCACTTGAACCATAGTTCCATTTGCGGCTTTTTGGTAGTTAATTGGAGATAAAAGGCTCATAGACTTTCCTACCCCAGCTGGCTTTGAACCACAGTCCTCAGATCTCAGGCTCCTAAGTAGCTAGGATTACAAATATGAGCCACCAGCAGCCAGCTAGAAGTTTTTATAGACTTACCATGGTCATAGAGATGGTCCTGCTGGCTTCATTCCTAACTTGGAGACAATCTGAGACACAATTTTGCTATGGATCCTAGGCTGTCCTCTGACTTGCTGGCAAAGGCCTGTGTGTTGGCAGGCATGGGATGAATGTTGAATAAGTGAGGTGATAAATGTGAGTGGGTAGGAAGAGAGCCAGTAGAAATAAGGGCTGCAAAGTTGTCCCTTGAGCCATAGGAAAAGCCATTCAGCACAGAACTCCCCTGAAGACCATTTGGCTTTCTGGTTACTTAAATATTCCATCTAGTTCCCACTCCCAGGCTACGAATGGCTTCAATCTGTCAGCATCCACATACCTGTCTTCAGTGTCCGTGTGACTAACCAAGCAATCTCTCTGAGGAACCTTTTCCTTCTTTTCCCCTTCCTTTGTCCTGGATTCATCTTTTTGTGAGCGATTTGCCAGGTACTGAGTGTCTTTTGGGGAAGCTGCCAAGATACCAAGTGAAATCACAGGTCTTGCTCCATTGAGCTGACAGAAGGGAGATGTGCAATTTAGGTAGAGTGAAATATGCTTTAGCAATACCTGGGCTTGTCCCACATGTGCCTGCCTTTGCCCTTTTCCCTCTGCTGTAGAACCCTTCTGTTCCTCCTCCCACACTCCCCGCCCCTAAACTTCCTGTCTGAAGTCTGGCCATGGCTCAAAAGCTGCCAGCATGGGCGGGGGTGGGGGGGTGTTGAGGGGGTGCTCTTCCCTTCCCTAGCCAGCACTTGGACACCTGTACCAATGGGCTTCCTTTGTCTGCCTCCTGTGTCACAACCCATTGCTGGGGTGGGATGCTTTAGGACAAGAGATAGGATGCTCAGTCATGGAGAGCAGCATCAAATCAGGCCTGTCTTTGTGATGGGCTGTCCCACTAGCATGGCAATAACCAAGGTCATTACTTTGTATTTTGCATCAGTGAGGTACTTTTGTATCACTGAATTCAACAATGATTTCCAATCTAGTAACAAGTGAATTCCATCCATCACATACCTAAGGGAATCATGAAAACACTAGTTGCTGAGTGAGGGAAGGAAGCAAAAGTATGAGTATCCAGTAGTGAAAATCAGGAGGATTGAGGTTTCAAGCCTACTTGGGTCAACAGATTTTTGAAACTCATCTCAACAAATAGGCTATCCTTGGGAATACATGCAGGATATCCCTTACCACATAGGTGATAGGTGGTTGGGTCAGGAGAGACATCATCTCTGGCTCTCTGCAGTTCAATGGCCTTCGATAAATTACTTCTTCAAATATGCTCCTTAGCTTAGAGGTGGGAAGACAGTGGTTCTCAGGTCTCCCAGGGGTTGGAGGACTCCAAAAGAGACTGAAAAACAAAACAAAACCAGACCTGCAAATTATTTTTAGAGCATACTGCATAAAACTAGAATGCCTTACTCATCTTCTGCTTGCTATTCACATTGTTCAGATGCATACTGAAGCCTGTTGCTTACTTAGGATTTGTTAGATACCAGGTGCCTATAGCAAGATGTAAACATGCTAGGCCCTGGCCTGGAATCTCCTGCAAGCCTCAGGTAAACAGGTAGCTCAGACCTAGTGACTGACAGTGCAGAGGAGGGGTGAACATTTGCTTCCCCCCTAACAAAGCAGGAGGTGATGGTGAGGAGAAGGTAGCCTGGACAGAGCTCCCTTACCCAGCATCTCTGTGGGACTGCCACTGCTGAGGGTCCTGAAGCAGAAATGGCAGGCTCTGCTGGGAAGGTGGCTCAGTGGTAGAGCGCTTGCCTTGCATGCCTGAGGCCCTGGGTTCAATTCCTCAGCACCAGATAAGCAAAAAGAAAAAAGCCGGAAGTGGCGCTGTGGCCCAAGTGGTAGAGCGCTAGCCTTGAGCTGAAGAGCTGAGGGACAATGCCCAGGCCCACAGTTCAGGCCCCACAACCAGACCCCCCCCCCCCCAAAAAAAAAAAAAAAAGAAAGAAAGAAAAAGAAATGGCAGGCCCTCTGCTATGCTAGTAGTACTCATTAGAAAATACAATGGAAGAGAGACCTCTCATTTCATAATAGCAATTTAAAAAAGAGCTAAAGGCAGGCCAGACCCTGGTGGCTCATGCCTGTAATCCTGGCTACTCAGGAAGCTGAGATCTGAGGATCACGGCTCAAAGCCAGTTTGGGCAGGAAAGTCTGTGAGACTTTTTTTTTTTTGGTCCGGTCGTGGGGCCTGAACTCTGGGCCTGGGCGCTATCCCTCAGCTCTTCAGCTCAAGACTACCGCTCTATCACTTGAGCCACAGTGCCACTTCGGGTTTTTTTCTTTTTTGCTTATGTGGTGCTGAGGAATCGAACCCAGGGCCTCATGCATGCAAGGCAAGCGCTCTACCACTGAGCCACCTTCCCAGCCCAGTCTGTGAGACTTTTGTCTCCAATTAACTATCACAAAACTGGAAGTAGCACTGTGGCTCAAAGTTGGTAGAGCACTAGCCTTAAGCACAAAAGCTCAAGGACAGCTCAGGGCCCAGGCCCTGAGTTCAAGCACCACGACCAAAAACAAACAACAACAAAACAAAAACAAAGAGAAAGGCAGCCAGGCACCAGTGGCTCACACCTGTAATCCTAGCTACTCAGAAGACAGATTTGAGGATCACAGTTCAAAACCAGCCTGGGCAGAAAATCCATGAAGTGGTAGAGCACCAGCCTTGGGTGAAAAAGCCAAGGAACAGCACTCAGGCCATGAGTTCAAGCCCAAATACTGACACAAGCAAAAAGAGAAAAAGGAAGACTATCAAGGTAAAATTCTCATAAGAAGCACATGTGACTCATTTGTTATGAGCAGCAGCATCTTTTTGGAGATCCAAAGAAAACCAGAACAAATTGACTCTGCTGCCACATCCTGCATCTCCCTAGCACTTAACCTATTTCCAGCCCTAAGTAGTGTGAACTGAGTGGCTGTACAACTTGGCACTGGCTGAAGAACCTCCAGGCTATCCCCTGGTTGCTACACCAGTGGGGCTTACAGCACACATCTTTTTGCTTTCAGAAGTAACCGGGGAGGCACGTCTTTACCATGGGAAAGAGGCTGTGGATCCAAGACAGGGGCGGACCAGAGGAGGCGACCCAACACACTTCCACCCAGTGAATGTGGCACAGCCTGTCCGCTTCAGCAGTAAGTTGCAGACCTGCCCTAATTATGCTGCCCACTATATGCATTGCACTTCAAACTTGCAGCCAGAGACTCAGCCTATAGCTCTCCCATTGCATTATAGGAGGTGGGGTTGTTTGCTAAAGCAGCTTGAAGATGTTGGCAGGCATGAATGAGGCAGCATGGTGACTAGAACAAGATAATCCAGCTCTGGAGTATTAAAGTGAGACTTGTACCCAGTCTCCAAAGCCATAGCAGCCTGCAGGGCTAGTCCGCAACTGGCCCTGGGAAATTTCATAGCTAGCTGTGCTGTTCCCTTTTATAGATGAGAATCAGTTCTGAGAGATTAGGTAGAGCTGAGAGTCTGCAGAGGAAGTCTCTCTCTCCCTCTCTCTCTCTAAATTTTTTTTTTTTTTTGGTCATGAGGTTTGAACTCTGGGCCTGGGCGCTGTTCCTCAGCTCTTCAGCTCAAGGCAAGTGCTCTACCACTTGAGCCACAGCGCCACTTCTGGTCTTCTGGTGGTTAATTGGAGAAAAGAGTCTCACAGACTTTCCCGCCCTGGGCTGGCTTTGCATTGTGATCCTTAGATCTCAGTCTCCTGAGTAGCTAGGATTACAGGCATGAGCCACCAGTGCCTGGCTCTCTCTGAATTTTCAAGTAATTAATGACTAACCTGTGATGTTAAATTTTGAAAGGAGAATAACAAGGTTAAGGAAGGTTGAGGGTAGGAAAAGCCTTATGCTGAGCATACATGCTCATGATGAAACACTACAAATACCTGCCAGGTTGAGAACTGACCATTACTTGTCTGATCCCCAGACACAGCACTGGGGAGCATTTCAAAGGAACTTCAAGGTGCTAGCCTTGGGCTAGGCTGAGCCACAATGGTTCTTTGGAAACCTAACACTGTCAGGAGTAAAGAGGCCCTGGAAAGTCCCATACTTGCAGGCCCGAGCATTCCTCTTGGCTCTTACCCTTCAGTGAGCCCCAGTTCTTTGTCTGCTGAGGACTCAGTGAGGGTATGTGTTCAGAAAGAATGCATCTCGTAGGTGTGAAGGAATCTTTCAGTGTTACCCTGTTTACTCCCTCAGTTGGCATACCGTTCCAGTACCACCATACTACTCTGTCTCTTCTAGGGCTGGCAACTAGTCTCACACAGTCAAGTGTAACTAGCCAGACCTTAGCAATGATGCTGTCCAGTTTTTTATCTTTACCTCAGCTGCTCAGGGGCCTAACTTGCCATTTCCTTCCTATAATCTCCATGCCTTGGTTAGTTAGTCACAGGCATACACACTTATGTAAAATCAGCGTAAGTTGCACTCCAGTGGCTCACACCTCTAATCTTAGCTATTCAAGAGGCTGGGATCTGAGGATAGAGTTTTGAAGCTAGCTGGAAATGGAGCTGTGGCTTAAGTGGTAGAGGAAGTGTAAACGCTCCAAACCTGAGTTCAAGTCTTACTACTAGTATATGGAAACACAGAAATAAATAAATAGATAAATAAAATCAGCATAAACTCATAAGAAACTTTACAAGTTCTGTAGCACATAAGTGCATTTAAAAATAGCATTTTTTTTTCTTTTGTGCTAATCCTGGGGCTTGAACTCAGAGACTGTGCACTGTTCCTGAGCTTTTTGTGCTCAAGGCTAGCACTCGCCACTTGAGCCACAGCTTCACTTCTGGCTTTTTGGTGATTAATTAGAGATTTCTTAATTAAGTAATTGGAGATTAATTCATTAGTTAATTAATTGCCCAGGCTGGCTTTGAATTGCAGTCCTCAAATCTCAGCCTTCTAAGTAGCTAGGATTGCAGGCATGAACCCCAAGAACCTGGATAGCTTCTTTTTTTTTTTTTTTTTAAATTCAACTGGCTTTGCTAAAAGTTGATACTGAACCCTTCAGTATACTAATAGGAGGCATTGTAACATTTGAAGGTTATAGATTCCATAAAGCCAACCAGTTACATTATGTCTGGTAAGCTACATAGTATAGCCTTCCCTTTTCAGATTGACAAAATGAAAAGATGCCACCCCATCTCAAGGTGACAGGATTCTAGCTGGTCTTTGGTTTCCCCAGCTGTTGCAGCACCTGGGACATGGCTCAGGAAGCAGTGGGCTTGTTGGCAGCAGAGACAAGGATTCTAGGCATTGAGATTATTTCCTGCTCATTTTCAGCAGGACATCACTAAGAATATGTGGAGAATGGTGCTGTCTTGATACCAGATTTGATCAGAAGCTGAAATCTGTGTATAGAAATAACTCAGCAACTGTTGACTACTGAGTAAATTAAAAGACCTTATGGACATGGGACCAGTCACTGAACGTACATCATGGGTTAAACTTGCATCTGATAGAAATTTGAACATTTCTACAAGTATGTGACCATAGGAACATAAGCTTGTCACCCTGAGCCTTTGTTTCTCTAGAATGCTGAGAGGTCTGTCCCTGATGCAGCACATGTAATTTTGTTTCTGAAGTCAAGATCCTAATTTTGGGGACAACTCCCCTCCGACCTTCATGTTTCCTAGGAAAGTGCCCAACAGGGTGGCACCACTATGAAGGCACAGCCAGCTGCTACCGAGTCTACTTGAGTGGGGAGAACTACTGGGATGCTGCACAGACCTGCCAGCGTGTGAATGGTTCCCTTGCCACCTTCTCCACTGACCAGGAGCTACGCTTTGTTCTGGCTCAGGAATGGGACCAGCCAGAGCGGAGCTTTGGTTGGAAAGACCAGCGCAAGTGAGTTCTGGGGGATTGGAGTTGGTTTACCTAAGCTTCAGGTGAGGGTTTGCTGGACTCTGCCTTGTGGGACCATGATCAGTTCCTTTCATTGGTCCCTTCCTATGGGTGCAACTGATTTTATGAGTATAGCCAGAGTGTGCTGGCCTGTATCTCAAGGGCTACCCAATGGGGCTATATGAGCCTGGTATGAGGGATGCACGAGGAGTCTGGGTTTCTTCTGAGAGCTTTTCAGAACTCTACCATTTCTTTTTTTTTTTTTTTTTTTTTTGGGTCCCAGTCATGGGGCCTGAACTCTGAGCCTGGGCGCTGTCCCTCAGCTCTTCAGCTCAAGGCTAGCACTCTACCACTTGAGCCACAGTGCCACTTTCGGCTTTTTTCTTTTTTGCTTATGTGGTGCTGAGGAATCGAACCCAGGGCCTCAGGCATGCAAGGCAAGCGCTCTACCACTGACCACCTTCCCAGCCCAGAACTCTACCATTTCTGTGCGCAGTGCTTTTTATTCATTCCTCTTAGAAACCCAGGGTGGGTGCATATGTGACTGTAGTCTTACCCTAGGAGCCCTAATTCTAGCTCTACACCCCCAGGCTCTGTGCACAGAAATGGCAGCCGTCTGTACATCTTCCTAGTGCCAAAAACTTGGGTTGTTTATGGGACAAGAATGTGCTGAGGAGGCTGGGTGCCAGTGAGTCACACCTGTAATCCTACCTACTCAGGAGTCTGCGATCTGAGGATTGCAGGAAAGTCCATGAGACTCTTATCTCCAATTAATCACCAGAAAAACAGAAGTGGCACTGTGCCTCAAGTGGTAGAGCACTCACCTCAAGCTGAAGAGCTGAGGGAAAGCACCCAGGCCCAGATTTCAAGCCCCACATCTGACAAAAAAAAATATCATGTACATGGAGCTGGGGGTGCAGCTTAGTGGTACTGTCCCCATCTAGCATGCATGAAGCTCTGACTTCAGTCCTTACAACAAAAAAATAAACACAAGAACAAATAAATAGATAAACATCTTCAGCACCACTAAATAAATAAATGAAAATATATAGTCTTGGTTGGATGCCTCTCTCTTGGTGCTGAGGTATCTCTCTCTGTACCCTGCAGGCTGTGGGTTGGCTATCAGTATGTCATTACTGATCGGAATCACTCCTTAGAAGGTCGCTGGGAGGTCGCATTCAAAGGTAAGCCTTTGTTGGGTATACACTCAAAATAGTCAAAGTAAGCTTCCTAAAGAGATACCTACACCATGTTTATCAGGCATTATTTATAATAACAAAGTTATAGATTTAGCCTCATTACTCATCAGAAGATGAATAGATAAAAGAAAAATGTGGTTTATATACACAGTGGAGTTTAATTCAGCTGTTAAGAAAAATGAAATGAAGCTAAGCATCAGTGGTGCACTCCTATATCCTAGCTACTCAGGAGGCTGAGATCTGAGGATCATGGTTCAAAGCCAGCCCAGGCAGGAAAGTCCATAGACTTTTTTTTTTTTCAAACAAGAAGTTTATTTAAACAAGATGCTTGACTTGAAGGGAAAATTATCTAGGATTCTTTTTTTCTTTTTTTTTTTTTTTTTTGAGTAATTTACCCATACTTAAAGATAGATTGCCCTACATGTAATAGCTATCTATGTACAAAAACGTTACAAAATTGTCTTTGATTTTACAATAATAAATGAAAACATTAAAATTCTCCAACCAAACAAGGTATGCAAGGATTTTTGTTGTTGTTTTTTCTTTTTTTGTTAAAACAGGGAGAGCAAAATAACTTACTGAAATGTAAAGTTAAAAGCTGAATAGCATGCCACTAATAGAGAAGGGGGATATTTTCACAGAACCAGTATTTTTCACATCCCATCTCCATTTGATGTCAATCAAAATGTACCATTGACCATTTAGTTAAAAGAAAGGAAAAGAAAAAGAAAAAAAAGCAATATTCATGTACACATACACCAGTTACTTTATGTACAACAAAGGAATGGGAAGGGGAAAATGAAAGAATAGAGAAAACTATACTGTAGTAGTCAGGATGTGGTTGAACCAAATTGCACTTTTCTAATTAAGAATGTATTATTGGTCTATAAGAACAAAGTTCTGGCCGGGCGCTGGTGGCTCACGCCTGTAATCCTAGCTACTCAGGAGGCTGAGATCTGAGGATCGCGGTTCAAAGCCAGCCTGGGCAGGAGAGACCGTGAGACTCCTATCTCCAATAAACCACCAGAAAACCGGAAGTGGCGCTGTAGCTCAAGTGGTAGAGCGCTCGCCTTGAGCTGAAGAGCTGAGGGACAGCGCCCAGGCCCAGAGTTCAAGCCCCACAGCCGACAAAAAAAAAAAGAACAAAGTTCTGGAGCAAAGTAGTAGGTTCCCTTGTCTAGCAGATACCTCCTGTTGGCTACTGGAACACATCAGTTGTATCTTCATCTAACAACTGTGCAGGTGTGTCTGTTTCATTGATTGGCTGTGTGAGAACTTGAAGTCACATGAGAACATGATGCTAACATCACCACCATGCCCCCACTGGGGTGGGGACAGGGTGTCAAAGGGGGTCTGGCGGTGGGTAGCTTGGGTGGTGGGTCACCAGATATAGATAGGCAGGGGGTTCCAGAGAAGAGGGAGAGGAAAAAGGCATGTCTCCCGGAGCAGAGTGGAGCAGTGAGGAGAGGCCAGGCTGACAGAGAGGCACAAGAAGAGGCCCCAGGTCACGCCAAAGGAGACCTGGGCTGTTGGAGAGGCCTGCAGAAAGGCCTGTGAAGAGCTGAGAGGCCCACAGGAGGCCTGCAGAGATTTGAGAGGCCCTTGGAGAAGTGGAGAGTGGAGAGGCCTGCAGTGAAGCCTGTGGAGATCTGAGAGGCCTGTGGAGACCGGAGAAGCCTGTGGAGAGATGGAGAGGCCTGTGGAGAGGCCTGCAGAGATCGGAGAGGACTGTGGAGAGGCCTGCAGAGATTGGAGGGGCCTACAGAGATCAGAGAGGCCTGAGGAGGTGAGAGGTCTGCAGAGAGCTTAGAGACCTGCAGAGAGTCCTTCGGAGAAAGGCGAGGCCTGTGTGGAAAGGAGGAAAAGGCAAAAATCTTACCCCCTGGAGGTTGCAGCTGCTCCCAGCTCTGAGGTAGCCCAGGACAGGGCAATTGTAGACCGACTAATAAAACTTCCTTGCCACCTTTAGCCATGCCTCTGTGGATTTTCTCACTCTCAGGTTCCTTACAGCTGCCCATCAAATCAGAATCTGATATACCTCATTGACAAACCCTGTCATTCACAATAGGCTTTCATTAGTTTACTAAGTGTTGTGTGCCTCTTAATCTTAAACTGCACCACAGAATCATTCTGCCCTGCCACCTTCAAATGAATATGATCGTTGTTCTGTCTTGACTTCTTCCTTACGCTTTTCGTTGGCCATTGTGAGCGCCAGAGTCTCCTCAGATTCCGCTTCACAAATGAGGTCTGCACTGAATGAGAACATAGGCAGCACCACAGCCTCCATGAGACTCTTATCATCAATAAACTACTAAGAAAGAGCTGGAAGTGGTGCTGTGGCTCAAATGGTAGATGCTAGTCTTGAGTACAAATAGGCTTGGGGATGCAGGCCACACCCTGTGTTGAAGCCCCAGGACCAACAAAAAGTAATTTAAAAATTACATGCATCTATGGAAATATGATGAGATCCCTTACTATGTACATTTCATATATACCAGTTGGCTTAAAAAAAATTGACCAGGTACCCATGGTTCATACCTGTAATCATATCTACTCAGGAGGCTAAGGATCACAGTTTAAATCTAGTCCATGAGGCTGTTATCTCCAGTTAATTACCAAAACAAAACACACACACACCAATAGCAAAGCTGTGGCTCAGGTGGTAGAGCACAAGCCTCAAGCTGAAAAAGTTTAGGGACAGTACCCAGGTCCTGAGTTCAAGTGCAGGATCAGGGACAATAAATAAATAAAAAGGAATTGACTGGAATCAGGACTTTGCAGGCATCTCCCCTACTCCTTCCCACTATTTCCAGTCTTTTTTTTTTTCTTTTCTTTTCTTTTTTTTTTTTTTTTTGGGTCCGGTCGTGGGGCCTGAACTCTGGGCCTGGGCACTGTCCTCAGCTCTTCAGCTCAAGGCTAGCGCTCTACCACTTGAGCCACAGTGCCACTTCCGGCTTTTTTCTTTTTGCTTATGTGGTGCTGAGGAATCGAACCCAGGGCCTCAGGCATGCAAGGCAAGCGCTCTACCACTGAGCCACCTTCCCAGCCCCTCCAGTCATGTTTTCATGACAAAGAAATGTTAGGATGTTGAAAGAGATAGGTACATTTTGTTACACAATGTAAACATGCATGGAAACATCACTTGATACACCATTATTATGTATAAAGTGCTTGCCTAGTATCTGCAAGGCCCTGGGTTTTAATCTCAGAAGTACACACACACACACACACACACACACACACACAAACATATACACACATAAGAAGTAAAAAAGACTTTGGGATATGTAAGTGAGCAGTTAAAGTGTGCTGTTGACATGAACCAAGGAGGAAAGGACAACCAGGAAGTTAAGAATTACAGGTGTTGGAGGTGTGGCTTAATTGATAGAGTGCTGGTCAATGAACCCTCTTCTTCCTGAAGGGCCCTAGAGAAAGGCAAGTGGCTCAAGGGGCAGGTATGTCCAGGAGTCACCGCCAATGCAGTATGGAGAATTCTTGCCTCCTTTCACTCATGTTCTTCCTTTCTTTCTTTCTTTCTCTCTCTCTCTCTCTCTCTCTTTCTTTCTTTTCCGGTCGTGGGGCCTGAACTCTGTCTGGACCTGGGCGCTGTCCCTCAGCTCTTCAGCTCAAGGCTAGCGCTCTACCACTTGAGCCACAAAGCCACTTCTGGCTTTTTTCTTTTTGCTTATGTGGTGCTGAGGAATCGAACCCAGGGCCTCAGGCATGCAAGGCAAGCACTCTACCACTGAGCCACCTTCCCAGCTTACTCATGTTCTTTCAGATCTTCTCAGGATCTTAACACTAGTCATCAACCTTGAAGTCCCCATCCAGTTATCATTCACCTATGTACTCCATATTCCCTCACGCACCTGCTGAAAGTCTTTCTTCTCAGCTCTAGTCCTTCATGCCTCTGATTTTTCACAGCCACAGCCCTCATCAAGGCCAGCCTTTGCCCTCTGCCCACACTCACCACCCCTGCTCTCCTCTCCAGCCCCAATGCTGCTTTCCTCTTTGCTCCCACTGTGATCATTTCCTAGGATGCTCTTTCCTGGAGTCTCAAGAGCCCTACACAAGTATAGGTCTTGATTGTGTCTGGAAATTTGGCAGCAACTTGCTAGTGCTGACCAAACCAGCCTCAATTGCACAAGCCACGTGACTTACAGCAGATGGTCAGTCTGCACGTTGCGGGGGAAGGGGCTGCTCATGTGATGAGCACAGTCAGCACCTTGGACCGATCTTTCTGATCTTTCACAGCATCCATGAGTAGACATGATACACACATGTTGATGAGATTTTCAACCTGGAAGTGGAGGTTTTTGACCTTTTTCTGCTTGTCTCCATGTGGCTTTGTCTAAGGGTCTTATAGGAACCCAACTCTATTGAATGCTGGAGCCATCCTCCAATGTCCTGACAGGTCATTTTTGGCCATTTTTTGGTACAAGCAGTTGTGCTCAGGAACTCTGAGATGGCATTTAGCCTCAGCCCTGAATACTGGTATTTTTTTTCTTTTCTCTTTTTCCTTTTTTCTTTTTCTTTTCTCTCTTTCTCTTTCTTTTCTTTTCTTTTCTTTTTTGCCAGTCCTAGGGCTTAACTTAGGGCCTGAGCACTGTCCCTGAGCTGCTTTTGCTCAAGGCTAGCACTCTACCACTTGAGCCACAGCACCATTTCCAGCTGTTTCCATTTATGTGATACTGAGGAATGCAACCCAGGGCTTCATGCATGCTAAGCAAGCATTCTACCACTAAGCCACATTCCCAGGCCCTACTTGTATTTTTTTTTTTTTTTAAAGGAAAGGGGAAGACTTTTTTTTTTTTCAGCAGACAAGAAATCAAATAGTGGTTGGGTATGATGGTGCATACCTGGCTGTAATCCCTATAATTCAGAAATTCAGAGGCCAAGACAGGAGGATCTCAAGTTTGAGGCCAGCTTAAACTACATAGCAAGACCCTGCCCCAAAAATATATGTGAAGAAAGCATAGGAATCAGTTTTTAAAGGGGAAAGCCTACCCAGGGATCCTTGAGGCACAGTTACACAGTGTGTTGGTGCAGCCCCCTCTCTGCATAGTGTGACCCTCCAGATGGTATAGGAGGAAGACTCCAGGGAGCTGGCCTAGTCCTCTGCCTGTAAATCTGTTTCACACATTAGGCAGGCAGGACACTAGCCCAGATGCCCTGCCATTGTGGCTGTGCCTGCCAGCCAGGGACAGGCCTTTGTCTCCTGAAAGCTAGTCATCTTGTCCCTGAACACAACCAGCCTCAAGACATGATAGCAGTTGGCAAAGTGAGTTTTGTGTTTGCTGCTTGCAGGAAATAGGTCAGGAAGGTGTGTGTGGCAATCTCTGTGTCCTGTGGAAGGGATAGATGGCATTAATGTCTTCGGGAATGAGCTTAAGTTGTTTTGTCTTAATTCTGCTTTCTGGGAAAGGTGGCATTTGTATTGTCTTGATCTGTATTGGAGTAGACAAAAGGAATCTTGATGGCCTGGTCTTGAAAGAGTTGTTGAAGGTTAGCAGTCCCTTCCGAAGCATGCCCCATGACTGAGTTTCAGAACACTCAGTGGGAGCTAATTAAATAAATGGCTGTTTGCCCTGAACTGGGACATTGTCCTAGGGAGCTGGCCAGCTGATGGCCCAGAGGGTAGTTGGAACACAGATACGTGGAGAATTTGAGTACTCCATATATTTACTGAGTATGTTAGTTTTTCATCATTGTAACAAATACCGGAGAAAGACAACTTAAAAATGTTCCAGTGCCTGGTGCTGACTTTCAGGTTCAAGGGGGATGGTTGGGCATACCTGTAATCCCTGCATTCAAGAAGTCGAAGGAGGGTGCTAGGAATGTGGCTCGGTGGTAGAGTGCTTGCCTAGCATGCATGAGGACCTGGGTTCAATTCCTTAGTAACACGCAGAACAAGCCAAAAGTATTGCTGTGGCTCAAATGGTAAAGTGCTAGCCTTAAGCAAAAAGCTCAGGGATAGTGCCCAGGCCCTGAGTTCAATCTCAGGACTGGCAAAAAAAATAAAAAAATAAAGTTGAAGCAGGAGGATGACATATTCAAATTCAAGGCCATCCTGAGTTTCATAGTGAGATTCTGTCTCAAAAAACAACAAAAAGAGGTAATATCAACTTATTGTCAATTACAGTTTTAAGGGTTTCAGGCCAAGGTTAGCTAAATCCATTGTTTTGGACCAAGGCAAAGCAGAAGAACATGGCTGCAGGAGTGCTTAGCAAAGGTTGCTCAACTCATAATGGCCAGGAAGTAAAGACAGCAAGGACCTCAGGACAAGATACAACTTCCAAGAACATGCCACCAGTGACCTGCTAACACCAACTAGGGCCTACCTCCAAAAGTTCCTACCACCTTCCAGTAAAGCCCTCACATTATGAAATCATAATTCATTGATAAAGACTGATCCCTCATTATCTAATCACTTCTCAATGATGTACTAGCTGGGACCAAGTCTTCAATAGATGAGCTTTTGGGGATATACTTCATATCTAAACCATAAGCCTGGGTGCTCATGTCTTAGAAAACATTCCCCTTTTTGTTCCCTTGTTTGTATGAGCATCTGCATTTTATCCAGTGTGCTGAAATTCAGTATTTATTATGTTGTTGTTCTTACTTTAACAATCCTAGCATATCACTATCCCACACCCTCTTTCTTGGGTTCTGCTTGTCACCAGGATTTTACTTTCTTTTTTTCCTTTTTTTTTTTTTGTTGTTGTCGGTCCTGGGCTTGAACCTCAGGACCTGGGCACTGTCCCTGCGCTTTATTGCTCAAGGCTGGTGCTCTACCACTTGAGCCAGAGCTGCACTCTGCCTTTTTGGAGTAGTTAATTGGAGATAAGAGTCTCAAGAATTTTCTTGCCTGGGTTGGCTTTGAACCTCGATCCTCAGATCTCAGCCTCAGTAGCTAGGATTACAAATGTTGTGAGCCACCAGCGCATAGTAAGCAAGATTTTCTTCTGTGTTTGTTGAGGCCCTATGAGGCCCACTATTTGGATGTCACAGGAGTTAACAGAGCTGAAGCCACAGGGACTACCAGTACTTGGTGGTCAGTAAGCTCTCTGGTTGATGGTGGTGTTGACACTGTAGTCCCCTTGCAGACTGCATGTGACTGGCTACTAATGTTCTGTTGTAGCCAGTCCCATCATTTTTCTCCCTTCCAGGTTCGTCACAAGTATTCCTTCCACCAGACCCCATCTTCACCTCTGCCATGTCTGAGAATGACAACGTGTTCTGTGCCCAGCTTCAGTGTTTCCACTTCCCCACTCTCCGACATCATGACCTGCACAGCTGGCATGCTGAGAGCTGCTACGAGAAGTCTTCATTTCTGTGTAAAAGAAGTAAGTTACTGGAATCTGCCTTCTTAGAAAACCATTAGGTCCCTGGGGTCAGCCTCTACCAGCTGTTCTAAGGTGGAACCAACCCAGGTGGTCTCTGTAGTTCTGTGGCATGAGCAGTGTGAACATTTTTCCTGAGGTAGAGGCCATAATTCCTTCCCTGCCCACTTGAGTGTTGTTAGGAGATAAATTGGAACTAGTGATCAAGGACTTAGCAATACCCGGGTACCTGTGGAGCATCTGAGTCCCCCTATCATCTCTCCTGTTTCTCCATGATCCTTCCTTCTGCTTTTCTCTTTGCTTTATCTGGATAATTCCTTCCCTAAGTTGTGTTATCACAGTCACCCAAAAGGCCTCTTTCAGCTTTCAGGGTTTAATAGTATGGTTGTGCTAACCAGGGGAATAACTCACCTCCACCCGTTCATCTGCATTGGGAGTAAAAAGGATATAATCAGCTTTGGCAGCTGCTGACTGCTGCTGATGTAGGAATCCTGTTGAGCTAATGATCTCAGCTCTCCTCAGGTGGACAGTTCTCCCTCCCCTGCTAATAGGTCACACACTAGCCTCCCACATATGTCTGAATCTGTTTCTGTCCTCCATTCTGACCCTTGGCTCTCTGTCAGTCCTGTGTCGGTTACAGTTTCATCCATACAGTAGCTCATGATGGGTCTGGATAGCATTATTTCTCTTCTTTTTGACAATCATGTTGCCTTTTCTTGACCTTTCTCTCTTCTAAAATTCTACATGAATTGTAGGATTTTTTTTAAAAAACTTCTCTATTTTTTCAGGGTGTACATTTTCCTATATTAATGTAGATAAGTTTGTTTCTTTCAATTCTTAGCCTTTCACTTCTTTTCTACTTCCTCTCGCCAGTGTTCTTTGGCTGATGTATTGAGCACAGTTGATCAAATAGGGTAGTGTGAGCAACTTAAAAATTTATACTTTTAGGAAGTAAACATTAAACATGCTTTCTATAGCATTTTAGAACATTTTTAAGGAAAATATTTACATTTTTAAGGCAAAATAAAAGTTCATTTTTCATATTCTTAGTTGAAGTACCAGTAGTTTGATCAAAATAACATATTTAGGGCTGGGAAGGTGGCTCAGTGGTAGAGCGCTTGCCTTGCATGCATGAGGCCCTGGGTTCAATTCCTCAGCACCATATAAGCAAAAAGAAAAAAAAGCTGGAAGTGGCGCTGTGGCTCAAGTGGTAGAGCACTAGCCTTGAGCTGAGGGACAGCGCCCAGGCCCAGAGTTCAGGCCCCATGACCAGACCCAAAAAAAGAATAACTTATTTGGAAATTATAGGTAATACATGAATAAAGTAAATAATAGTGTTGTAAAGATGGTAAAGTAAAATGAGAATATTTTGCTACCTCCTTCTGCAATAAAGCTTCCTTCCTTCCCTAGTTCTAGGGCTTGAATTCAGGACCTAGGCACTCTCCCTGAGCTTTTTCACTTTAGGCTGATGCTCTGCCACTTGAACCACACTTCCAGATTTTTGTGGTTAATTGGAGATAAGAGTTTCGGGGCTGGGAAGGTGGCTCAGTGGTAGTGTGTTTGCCTTGCATGCATGAGGCCCTGGGTTCGATTCCTCAGCACCACCTAAGCAGAAAAAGCCGGAAGTGGGACTGAGGCTCAAGTGGCAGAGCGCTAATCTTGAGTTGAAGAGCTGAGGGACAGTGCCCAGGCCCAGAGTTCAGGCCCCACAACTGACCAAAACAAAAAACAAAAACAAAACAAAAAAACAGAGTTTCACAGACTTTCCTGAACAGGTTGTCTTCAAACCAGGATTCTCAGATCTCAGCCTCCTGAAATAGCTAAGATTACAGGCATGAGCCACCAGCATCTAGCCCTTCCTTCTTTTTTTCCTTCTAGAATGTGTCTTTATAAGGTTTAGAAATTACCTTGGTAGCAGATGGCTCATGCCTATAATCCTAGCTACTCAGGAGGCTGAGATCTGAGGATCCTGGTTTGAGCCAAGATCCTTAGGCTAAGACCTAAGGATTTAGTTTGCCATCCCAGGCAAACAAGTCCAAGAGATTCTTATCTCTAGCAAAATCTCAAGTGGTAGAATAGAAAAACAAACAAAAACCGAATGAGAGCAGGAGGCCCTAGTTGAAGCCCTAGTACTTAGGCAGGCATATATGTCCATGCATGCGTACACACACACACACACAGCCAACCCAGATAATAAACTAGCAGTTCCCCCATTTCAATCAATAAGCCCAACAAGATGACATGAACCTGTGTACTCAGCTACAAGAGAGGCCAGTGGTAGGAATATCATGGCAGAATATCAAGACGAGAATATGAGACCCTACCTAAAAAAATAACTAAAGCAAGCCAGGTGCCAGTGGCTCACACCTGTAATCCTAGTGGCTCAGGAGGCTGAGATCTGAGGATTGCAGCCCAGGTAGGAAAGTCCATGAGACTCTTATCTCCAATTAACCACCAGAAAACCAGAAGTAGCACTGTGGCTCAAGTGGTAGAGCACTAGCCTGGAGCTAAAGAGCTAGGACAGTGCCCAGGCCCAGCGTTCAAGTCCCACGACAGACAATAATAAAAAATAATAACTAAAGCAAAAAGGGTTGGAGGATATGGCTCAAGTAATACAGAGCCTGCTTAGTAAGCACAAAGCTCTGAGTTCACAACTTAGTAACACCAAAAATAAAAAGAAATTACCTGGGCTGGGAAGGTGGCTCAGTGGTAGAGTGCTTGCCTTGCATGCCTGAGGCCCTGCGTTCGATTCCTCAGCACCACAAAAGCAAAAAGAAAAAAGCCGGAAGTGGCGCTGTGGCTCAAGTGGTAGAGCGCTAGCCTTGAGCTGAAGAGCTGAGGGACAGCGCCCAGGCCCAGAGTTCAGGCCTCACAACCAGACCCAAAAAACAAAACAACAAAAAAAAGAAAAGTAGGAAAGCTAGGTTCCAGTGGCTCACACCTGTAACCCTAGCTACTCAGGAGGCTGAGATCTGAGGATCATGCTTCAAAGGCAGCCCAGGCAGGAAAGTCTTGAGACTTATCTCCAGTTAACCACTAGGAAACCAGAAATGGCACTGTGGTAGAGTGATAGCCTTGAGCTGAAGCGCTCAGGGACAGCGCCCATGCCCAGAGTTCAAACCCTATGACCACCACTACCACCAACAACAACAAAAGTAGGAAAGGGCTGGGAATATGGCTTAGTGGTAGAGTGCTTGCCTAGAATGCATGAAGCCCTGGGTTCAATTCCTCAGTACCATATAAACAGAAAAAGCTGGAGTGGCGCTGTGGCTCAAGTGGTAGAGCACTAACCTTGAGTACAGAGAAGCTCAGGGACTGCCCAAGCCTTGAGTTGAAGCCTCAGACTAGCAAAAAAGAAAAAAGAAAAAAGTGTATACACACACACACACATATATATATAAATATGTAAATATAATATAAATTTATGTTTTATACATATATGTATATGTGTATATATTTTATACATATATGAGCAGTAAGAAACCTTCACAGTTTTATTGATTAAGCAAGCAGGCAGTCAAACAAAGAGGGGGAGGCTTTTTTGGCAACACATCTGATTTTAAAATGACTAAGTGTCCATAACAGCTGCAGCTAGAATTTAGGAAATCTCCCAGATTAACTACTTAAAAACAAATGCTTACCAGGTGCTAGTGGCTCATGCCTGTAATCTAGCTACCTAGGAGGCTGAAATCTGAGGATTATGGTTCAAAGCCAGCCCAGATAGGAAAGTCTCTGAAATTTACGTCTAACCACCAAAAAGCTGAAAGTAGAGCTGTGACTCAAGTAGTAGAGTACTGGCTTTGAGCACAAAAGAACAGGGACAGTGTCCAAACCCAGAGTTTAAGTCCTAGCAGCAGCAAAAAAAAAAGGCAGCCAGGTACTGGTAGCCCACATTTATAATCCTGGCTACACAGGAGATTTGAGATCTGAGAATTGAAAGTCAAAGCAAGCGAGAACAACAACAAAAAAGCAAATGCTTTTGCAGGATCCTTCACTCTAGAGTGTGATGCTATACGTCCTGGCCCCCTGGGCTCTGCGGGTTCACTTGCTGTGACTGGGAGTGCTCTGTTGTAGCGGTTGGTTGCAGTGTCTGCTCTCAGACAATCCCTCCCTGTGCAGTGGAGCAGAAACCACCACACCAATCTAGCTCTTAGAGGACTCTCAGACATCCGGCCAACTCCTCAGTTTTCCTTTTGTCTCTAAAGGTCTAGTGATGGGGGAGGGGGGAGAGCATGGAATGAGGGCTCATTTTACTAATAATGTACACCTGTGCCTGTTACAGGTCAGACATGTGTCGACATCAAAGACAACGTGGTAGATGAAGGATTCTATTTCACTCCCAAGGGGGATGACCCATGCTTGAGCTGCACCTGCCATGGAGGGGAACCTGAGATGTGTGTTGCGGCTCTCTGTGAGCGGCCCCAGGGCTGTCAACAATACCGTAAAGATCCTAAGGAATGCTGCAAGTTCATGTGTCTGGACCCAGGTGAGACTGGTGAGAAGAAGTCAGCCCCCTTTTTCTGGGCCAGAAGCTAGATGTCCCTTTACTTTTCAGACGACAACCAGTACAATAGAGCAGATCCACAGTATTGTAGCCCAGGAAGGACTCTCAAACATGATCTGGCCAGCATGGTGGGATTCACAACAGGTCACTACACATGACACAGCAGCAATGGCAGTATTTCCTCCCAGAGCTGGCCCTGAGGCTTCAACAGCCAGTTTGATCATGTCCCTGACCCTTGTGACTGCCACCCTTCACATTGTGTTATTCCTATTCTCAGGTAGCAGATTCTGTTCATAAATGAACTTGAACTTGAATTTGCACCTGATTTTTTATACATTATCTGCAACTGGCAGCTTCAAACCTCTCTTCTCTTTATAAGACTCAGAACTAGGGCTGGGAAGGTGTTTCAGTGGTAGAGTGCTTGCTTGCATGCATGAGGCCCTGGGTTCAATTCCTCAGCACCACATAAGCAGAAAAAAGCCGGAAGTGGTGCTATGGTTCAAGTGGTAGAGTGCTAGCCTTGAGCTGAAGAGCTGAGGGACAGCACCCAGGCCTAGAGTTCAGACCCCCTGACTGACCAAAAAAAAAAAAAGACTCAGAACTAGACTTGCAATTTATGTCCACATATTTTTTCCTTAAACAGTATGGTATAGAAGGTAGTAACAATTGTCCTTTCTCAGTGTTTACTGATAGACCCTTCAAGAAGAGATTCAATATTACCTTCAGTTTTAAGACACAACTCCTTACCACTAGGTGGTGCTTTAAGAAGATGCTAAACAGGATTCTGGTTTCAGGATGAACTTCGTCCCTCTTCCACTTACAACAAAATAGCTATAGAGGCTAGGTGTATAGTTTGTGTGGAGTACTTACCAACACTTCAAATAAATAAATAAATAAATATAAGCCAGGTGGCAGTGGCTCGTACCTATAATTCTAGCTACTCAGGAGGTTGAGATCTGAGGATTACAATTAAGTCAGCCCAGGCAGAAAAGTCCCCATGAGACTCTTATCTCCAATAAACTATTCAAAAAGAAGCCCTAAGTGGTGGATCGTTAGCCTTGAGTGCAGAGGCCCAAGGACAGTGCCCAGGCCCTGAGTTCAAGCCCCAGGACCAGCCAAAAATTTTAAGAAAGAAAGAAAGAAACAAAGAGAGAGAGCAAGTGGAGTCCAGCTCCCTGGGCTCATCAGCACCCATGGACACTTCGTATGGCACATTTCCTTGCCATACCCCCGTCGCTGGCAGCTCTACGTGAATTCAACCTTCAATGGAAGTATGATTCAGAAGCATGAATTTGTTTCTTTCTTGGTACCACAATAAGAGATTGATGTAGTAGAGACTTGTGGAAGCCCTGGACGTGTAGATCCTGCAAAATGGCAACTTAGGCAAGCTATCTCCCCTACCCCACCCCCACCCCCGCCCAGGGACCCTGTGGAACAGAGCACTGTAGTGTGAGGTGTCAACAATGAGAGCTTCCATGAGTAGTTACCATCAGCCTCCCTCACAGCAGGAAGGCTGCTGAATGGAAGAATAGAGCCATCCTTCAGAGGCTATGTCTGAGGCTTGGTAGAAGCGGGCACTCTGCACATGTACCACTAGACATGTACAGCTGATGAAGTCATGTCCACTGAGAAAGCCCAGAAGTCGTGTTTGCAGGTGAGCTCACCAGGGGACAGTCAAGGTGGTTATTTGGCCTATTCTCTTCCCACAGAGTAGACAATTTTCTGCTCAGGTAAGGTAGTAAAATAATAGTGATTGAGTGCATACCATGTTTTGTGCCCCTAGCTATATCACTTCAAGACTCCAGCTCAGTTACCACCTGTGGGAGTCAAACTCTGTCTTTCACAAGCCATGTCATCCTGGTTCCCCATTCCATTTTTCAGAAGCTTCCCAGTACTTTACCTTTCTGTTCTGTCCAAACTTTGTAGAAAATGACCAAGATTATAGAGGATGGTCCTTCTATGGCATATATAGCCTCTTGGGCCTGCCCAACCAAGAATTTCTCAGTAGAGTGAGATTCACAGTGTATCTGGATAGGTCCAGTGCTGCTGCAAGCCACTTTGCTGCACTGTCAGAGCAGCATAAACAGAATCCACTCTGTCTGTGAAGTTGCTGTATTTCCATAGGCTCTTGACTCTCGCAGAAATCCTTTCCTGGAAAGTGCCAAGGAACAAAACTCTGCCACCAAAAGTGAAGAAACTAGGAATAGGATATCTATTACCTTCAAGGGTATTTGCTCTCACCTCTCCATTGAGTATTTACTTGAGGCCACAGGAAGCCATGTCAGGAGGCAGGAAGAAATGAAAGGCTTTTAAATTAGAGGGGTAGAATTGAAACCATTGTTCTTTGCAGATAAAGTGATTGCAATAGAAAATCCTAGAGGATCTATAGGAAAGTTAATAGCACTAGTAAGTGTATTTTTTTGGGGGGGGGGTCCGGTCGTGGGGTCTGAACTCTAGGCCTGGGCACTGTCCCTCAGCTCTTCAGCTCAAGGCTAGCGCTCTACCACCTGAGCCACAGCGCCACTTCCAGCTTTTTTCTTTTTGCTTATGTGGTGCTGAGGAATTGAACCCAGGGCCTCACGCATGCAAGGTAAGCACTCTACCACTGAGCCACCTTCCCAGCCCTAGTAAGTGTATTTTTAAAAGCCTTCAGATATAGGGTCAATATTCAAAATCCGTTTTATTTATTTATACTATCTGTAACATTTGGGAATTGAAATTTCTAAGAAACGTATCATTTATAACAGCATCCACAAAGCATGAAATTCTTAATTATAAATCTTATATGTCTATGCTGCAAATATAAAACACAGGAAAGAAAGAGACTAAAGCTTTAAAATAAAAGGGGATATACCATGTCCATGGACTAAAAGGTTTAATATAATTTGTAGATTAATTCTCCCCCAAAGTACCTATAGTTAGATTTCAGTCCAAATCAGAATTCTAGTAGATATTTTTTGTAGGCATTAATAAGTTATGTCTAAAATATATGTGTAGGGCTGGAAAGGCGGCCCAGTGGTAGAGTGCTTGCCTTGCATGCATGAGGCCCTGGGTTTGATTCTTCAGCACCACATAAGCAAAAAAAAAAGCCAGAAGTAGTGCTGTGCCTCAAGTGGTAGAGTGCTAGCCTTGAGCTGAAGCGCTCAGGGACAGTGCCTAGGCCCAGAGTTCAGCCCCCACAACCAACCAAAAAACTAAAATAAAATAAATGTGTAATGGCAAAGAAACTAAAATAAAATAGCTAAAACAATTTTTACCTTCCCAGCCAAGAGTACATTTCTTTTTGGACATCACCCATACAAATTTTTAATTTTTATATATAGCTTTAGTAATCAAAACATTGTGGTATTGATGAGAATACAGATTAATGGAACAAAATAGTCCAGAAGTAGTCCAACACTGGTCAAGTAATATTTGACAGGTATGTCAAATGTAATTCAACGAAGAGAGGACAGTCTTTCAACAAATGGTGCTGGAATAGTTGGACATCCATATGCAAAAGAAGGAGAAAAAGACATATTTAAATTATACTTCACGGGACTGGGAAGGTGGCTCAGTGGCTTGCCTTGCATGCATGAAAGGCTGGAATTGGTGCTGGGGCTCAAGTAGTAGAGTGCTAGCCTTGAGCTGAAGAGCTGAGAGACAGCGCCCAGGCCCAGAGTTCAGGCCCCACGACTGGCAAAATAAATAAATAAATAAAATAAATTATATTTCACCAAAAACATATATGATGACAATGAAACACTTGAAAAGATGTTTAATATTGGTCATTAAGGAAACATTGAATCCACATGAGACCTACTCAGAGAGCTTAAAATAATAAAACCTAAGGTACCAAATGCTGGCTTAGAACAGCTGGAACTCTCATGCCCACCCTCTCCTATACTGTTTTGAGGCAGCCCTGGTATCTTAAGGCCTCTAGGGCTGAACATAGATGCCCAGATAGTGGTATAGTGGGGTCCACTTTGAGATCCAGGCCCCTGACCTTTGATCTTCATCTGCCATCTCTGACAGATTTTGAAACTGTCATCATGTAATCATGCTCTTTGAAATTCAACTCATTACTGCAGCTCTTACACTGACTAAATGGCTACCTGGGGACATGGATGGTGCAGGCATCAGATTAAGCATCAAGCTGATCGACTTAAGGGCTCCTTTAGTTCCAGATGCATCTACCCTAGCAGGCTGTGTCTTCTTTTTAGGAACCCAGGGTTTCAGTGAGGAAACAGCTATGTCACAGGTGCTTCTGGACCTCTAGATTGACCTTTGGGTCCTGAGACAGGTTCTCTTCTTTATGCCTCACTACAACTGGCTTGGTTTAAGAGATGCTTCTTCTGGTCTTCATTGTGGAAGGACCGTTGGGACCTTGACCATACCCTTGAGTTTATTTTAGGACTGATTAGGAATTATTCACTGCAAAGGGGCTACTTTCTTAGTTGCTCCTCTGGGATCTCTGAGCTGGCTGCCAATTAAAAGACATGTCACCAGCCTCTTGGGCCAATGGCTTTCTTCCCAGGGGCAGGAATGAAATGTTGGTGGAGGTCAAGGCCTGGAGAAAGCAGCTAATTAGTGAGTGTATCTTTTTCACACATGTGCTTCACAAGTGTTGTCAGCAACAAATGTAGCTTTCAGAGATACTTCCTGATCACATAGGAAAAGGGGGGCAGTAGCCAGCTCTTGCCACCTGTGTGGTGGAATGAGTTGGACAGGCAGGAATGACTTAAGCGCTCTGAGAGCCAGTCACTTTCATGTGGGTCATGAAGCATTTTTCAAGGCTGGCCTTGGGGGATATGCTTGCTTGGAGATAACCTGTTTCCTTCTTCCTGAAGTTTGGTAGGGTCCTCCTGCTTCTAGGAGCAATAGGCAGCTCCTCCCACTGAAGCCTGCCATCAGTCTGTGACTTTGTGTGAGTTACTAATCTCTACGTTGAGAACAAGTGGAATTGTAGTCACAGTGTAGGCACTTAGTCAGTATAAGTCCCCTCCTTTCACATCATTCTTCTCCTACCATAGTAGCTCATGGCTGACACCTAAGGAGACTCCAGTATGGCTCAAAGCAGGGCAAGGTGTCACTTCTACTTCCTGACGTACTGGCCTGGGCACATTAGGATATCAGTCAGCACCCCTAACCTCTACTTTCACTAGGTGCCAGTAGGACCCCTTCCCAAGCAGTGATTACCAAAGGGATGGAGTGATGGATAAGGTGCTGGAAAGGGCTGAAGAAGGCTCCACAGTCTGGACCTGTTGCTTCTTAGCTCCTGGACCAGCTGGAGGTCAGCTTGATGGCCCAGCAAAAACACACAGCTGGTGCCACACTAGCCCCTCCTATGCCCACATAGATGCACAGGTGTACTACTTGGGCCAGAGAGAATTTCTTCATCATGTATCTGTGGGGAAGGCCAGCTCAGTGTTCGGCTGCACTGGTGTGCCAACACTGGTATTTAATGAAACAGTGTTTTCTCTACTGCGGCTTGCTAAAGAATGACGACACATTCACAGCCACAGTGGATGCCCATTGGTGAGTGATCCAAGTTGACTGTCCTTTGTTTTGTTTTGTTTTGTTTTTGTCGGTTGTGGGGCTTGAACTCTGGGCCTGGCCGCTGTCCCTGTGCTCTTCAGCTCAAGGTTGAGCGCTCTACCTCTTGAGCTACAGTGCCACTTCCAGTTTTCTAGTGGTTTATTAGAGATCAGAGTCTCACGGACTTTTCTGCCCAGGCTGGCTTTGAACCATGATCCTCAGATCTCAGCCTCCTGAGTAGCTAGGATTACAGGCGTGAGCCACCGGCGCCAGCTTGACTGTTCTTTGTGAGCCTTGTCCCTGACAGTTGTTGGAAGGACAGTTGCCTCGGGTTCCTGAGGGAAGCCCAGACTGCTCTTTTGCAGTTCTCCCCTTCTCTCACTATCCTGTCCTGGCCTCTGGCATTTCCTCTTTTAGATGCCATGGAGGCTCCTCATGGATTCCCTGACCCCATGCTCCTCTGTCCATGATACAGCACCTTCCTTGGACCAAGTTCTGCAGGGCCATCACTCCCAGTCCACACCCCACCCTGGGTCCTTCCTTCAAAGCACAGTAAGCCTCAGATAGCAAAGCAGCCTGGCCCCCACTGCCCTTTGCCTTTCTCCCTTGGTCCTGCTTCCTTATTTTGGGGAAAACATTGGGGGAAATAATGTTGGGGGTCACATCTGTTTCTTAGACAAGTGAGGAGGGGAGGCAGGGATGGTGATATCATCCTTATCAAGAGGGCACAGGCAGTGACCTTGTGTGCAGCCTTGCACTTGGGGAGAAGCAGTGGAGCCTCAGCAGGTGTGTTGCACTCCAGCTGCACTTGCACATACAAGTTCATGTGCTTGGTCCCCTAGAAATTCCAGTCTTGAGACAGAAGTCTCCACTTGGCTTGCCTAAGTGACAGGTGGAGGGCATTTGTGCATGTAGCCATCCAAGGCCTGGAGCTTTTCAAAGGAAGGTGCTCAGAGAGAACAAGCCAGGTGAGCAGGACAGTGACCCTAACAAGCAGCGCTGTGTGAATTCCTTTTTCTGCTTTCTGTGTCATTTCAGTATTCTCTTTTTGAGTTTTATTTCACCATCTAGCGTACAATTATCAAGTACAGCAGTGTCCTTCAGTGCAAGCTTGTCTGCATGTGTGTTGTTAGGGCCAAGTCCAGGGCCTCATGTATGTTAGCCTTTGCTCTACCACTGACCCACCCCTCTAGCCCTGCAAGGTCTTTTTCTCAGAGCCATCGGCTTCCTTCCTCCTCACAGACGGCAACAGCCTATTCGACTCTATGGCCAGCGGGATGCGTCTGGTCGTCAGCTGCATCTCCTCCTTCCTCATCCTATCGCTGCTGCTTTTCATGGTTCACCGGCTACGCCAGAGGCGCCGGGAGCGTATCGAGTCCCTGATTGGAGCAAACTGTGAGTGCCCTCTAAAGGCCACAGCCAGGGCCCTAAGCCAGTGCCTCTCTGGGTCTCAGGACTCCCCTGTCCTGGGTTTTTACTCCTTAGGAAGAGGGTAAGATGAGGTGCGGTAATTTTCTTGGTGAACGAGTTGGAGAGGAAGGGGAAGGTGAGCCCATCTATGTTGGTAGAGAATGCAGGGGTGTCCCTGGGAAGGCAGAGACACAAGCAGGCACTTTGCAAAAGCTGTCCATGGCTGAAATTAGAGGCAGGCCTTCCATCTTCAACCCTTAAAGCAGAAAGAACAATTTGTTCATTTACACAGTGATGTCCCTTTTCAGTGACCTGTGCTGTTGAGTGGGAGCCACTAGCCAGAAAAGATGCTCCTGACACCAGTGGCAGCTTGCAGTGTGTCCAGCCTTCTTTACCCTGAGTTCCTCAGCAGTCCATATGCCTGGCCAGCAGGTTTATCTGCTGTGTGTGAAGGGAACTTTGATGCCTCCTATGGCACCTAGGCTGAGTCTGGAAACCTCCCATCCCCAGGGTTTGCCAGTTTTCTACCATGGGCAGGAGCCTTCCTCGTGAGCCTCCTTCAGGCTCACTGAGCTCCAGGGTGGGTAGGACTCAAAAACCTTTGAGGGTTGGACACCAAGAAGAACATTAGAGCTGGAGGGTGTGACAGTCCTAAGACTTCGCCTTGTCCATGAAGGGACAGGACACAGTGACAGATTGCATGTGGTTGAGGGGTAAGTGCACATTGGTGGAAGGAACTAAGGATAGGAATGATCAGGAGAGGCTTTGCGCTAGGGGATGATGGAGTGGGAGAGTACTGGGCCCTGAACTCAAGGCCTTGTGCTTGCTAAAACAAGTGCCCTACCACTTGAGCCACACTCCTAGCCCTTTTTGCTTTTACTTTTCAAATAGTCTTCCTTTTTGCCCAGGCTGGCATGAACTGCCATCTTATAGTTCCTGTGTAGCTGAAATAATAGGCCCCATGGTACCTCACCCAACATTTTATTGCTTGAGATGGGATCTTTTTGCCTGGGCTGGCATGAATCAGGATCATCCCAATCTAAGCTATCAAGTCTGGCTCCAAGTTAGGCTTCTTAATATGACATGTAGGCTATCCATCTGGTTATAGGAGTGTGGCACGCTGGTGGCAGGCTCAGTCTTGGGAGGGAGGCTCAGAAACCAGGAAGCCTGCCTCCAAATGACACAACTCTGCCCCTGTTTCTCACTCTCCATGATCCAGTGCACCACTTCAACCTTGGCCGGAGGATCCCTGGCTTTGACTATGGCCCAGATGGGTTTGGCACAGGCCTCACCCCACTGCACCTTTCTGACGACGGGGAAGGTGGGACTTTCCATTTCCATGACCCTCCACCTCCCTACACAGCTTACAAATACCCAGACATCGACCAGCCGGATGACCCACCGCCACCTTATGAGGCCTCCATCAATCCTGACAGCGTGTTCTACGACCCTGCAGGTGCCTGCCCACCCCAGGGAGGGGACACAATCCAAGTGGGCCAAGACCACTGGCCTTTTTGAGCTTCAGAGTCCTGGGGAACCCCTGTTTCTTTCTGTCCTTCCTTTTGGTTTTCCATTAGGGGCTCTTCCCAGGATTGGTCTTACAGAAAGGACTTGGCCTCTAGTACATGGGACCTTCCTTTCCTCCCTCCCATAAGCACCTGTTGAGCAGTTTTCAGTACCCTCTCTGCCCAGCTTTGTGAAGCAGTGGGGAGCCAGGCCAAGGTGGTCATGGGGACAGCGCTGGCCCTGACCTAGGCCAAAGAGCTAAATCTCTTGGCTGTATAGACTACCCATGTATGTGTGGAAAGATGAAGAGACACTGTTGGAAGAGTCCCTCACATAATAGCAGGAAGAAGCTCAGGAGGTAGGCCAGTTGCTTGAGTCTGTTCTGCATCTGACCCTGAAACTCCTGGGACTGTAGCTAAGAAGAAATATCTAGTATGTTCTCTCTCTACCCACTTCCTGCTCTGTTGCTGTTTCTGGCCTGAAGTGAAGGTGTTCTGTCCCTATTTCCTATGGGCCTGCACACAGCACAGTGGGCATCCAGAGGTGTGCTCTGCTGTATGGTGTGGGGTTTGCAGGAAAGCCTTGGATTTGATCCTGCCAACAAAGCAGATTGTCAAAGAGACCAGGATAGGGGCTACAGGTATAGCTGTATAGTTCAGTGGTAAAGTGTTTGTCTGGTTTTCACCCACCCTGAATTAGGTCCCCATGCCCACACAAGGGGTGGGAGGGGTAGGGGAGACAGAGTGGGATAAACTTCCTACAAGAGTGGCAACAGGTCCCAGACACTATAAACCAGGTTGTCAGCTAGGGAGTCTGGAGAGTTTGCCAGGAGAAAGATGCGTTAGCAGAGCCTCTTTCCACCAGCTTTCTGAAGCAGCTCGTAGTAATGGGCAGGCAAAATTTAGCAAGTGGATTGCCTCTCCCCAAACCTCCCTTGAAACAGCTCTCTGCTGACCTCTGGGTGCCTTACACAGGCTGCCTGCTTCAACATTGTTATTGCTATAATCCAGCTGAAGCCCTGGCAACCAGTGTTCCTGCCTTTCTGCCGAGTCTCACCTCCCTTTGTCACTATGTCTTACCCTCCTCAAGCTATGATGGCACAGAGAAGCTATGCTGCCTGAATGTATGGGCCTGTGCATCTACTACTGACCCCAACTCTCGGGAGCAGCAGGCACTCCAGAGGCCGTGTCAGAAGGGCCCTCTTCCCAGCCCTGAGGTTTAGGGGGTCAGTGTACTACTCATCAGTGGTAGGAGTGTTCAGGCAGGGGAGTCCCCAGTCTGCCCAGCTTTGCTGTGTCCCCATGAGAGTCTGTACTTGCTTGGGACATCTCCTGACACCCCCTTTATCTCCTGCAGATGACGACGCCTTTGAGCCTGAGGAGACTGGCCTGCCAACCCCAGGAGATAGTAGCATTGAAGGTGCATTGCCCAGGTGCCTGGAGCAGCCTCTGCCTCCTGCTGGGACCTCCCTGGCAGACCTGGAAGACTCCACTGACAGCAGCAGCACCCTCCTTGTGCCCCCTGATTCTGCACAGATTGGTAGTGCCCCAGCTGCAGAGCCACCACCAGGAGGCAGCCATCACAGCCGTGGCTCCCTCAACACTGTGGTCTAGACAGCCCAGCCCAAAGCTCCAAGTGGGTTGGGAGCATCTCTTTGCTGTTGAGAAAACATCCATCCCTGCAGGAAACTTGGAGGGGCCCTGGAACAGCCTGGATCCCACTCCACTGCCACTCTTCCACCAGTGAGCCCATGTGTACATAGAGACTACAGCCAGCCTCCCTCTGGGAGGAGCAAGCACCTGCGCTGTCTCCTTGAGGGCTTCACAAACATGCATAGCTGCAGGTCACTGTCTCTTTAAATGGCAGAAGAATGGCAAATGTGTTCACATCACACATTTCAGAGGAAGGGAACAGGAGGCACTGGGCCATGCTCAAACAAAACATCTTGGGTTGGCTTGCTCACTGCACTGTGCCACTCAGATAATGTGGCTGGCTAGCCAGTCACCAACAAGTCACTGAGTCCTAGAGTGGGTGATGTGTGGGGACCTCTGCAGTGCATCCTATGGTAGCTGCCCTGAGGGGTGCCTGCAGACCATCAGTGTTGATGTAGGGGGTCTGTTTCAAGTAGACAGCCCAAGAGTACAGCATCCTCTGGGGATGGCCTCTAGTGCAACAGTGGACACTGAGGTACCTGAGGTGCTGAGTCGGGGCTGGAAAGAAGTTGATCTCACTGCCCTCTCTAGCTGGGCCTTGCAAGCCTGGCTCCATAGCAGGAGGCCCCAGCCCACCCCTTTCATCCCTATGGCATTGCTCTGCATGGCTCCCCCAGGAGTCTGGACCTCTCCTGAGGCCTGGGCCGCGCTGGCTCCTCTCTGTCACTCTGGAGCCCTGAGACCTTGCCTCCTGTTGAATGGCCTCCAGGTCTGAGGCCCTGTCCCCATCTTGTTTGTGCCATAAAGGATTATTTCACTGGGAGAGGGGTGCAAAAAGGAGCATCCAGGGCCATACCATCTCCACCACTGGGTCCAGCGCCTGGTGGCCACATGCACGCTTCCCCACCCCACTGCAGCTCTGAGTGTGGGACCTTTTGCCCAAGGGACCCTGTTGCCTGCTGCAGGCAGTGGTCTTGTCTCCTGACATGGACCTTTAGCATTTCTGAGGTTTGGAGATGAAGCGGGTTCTGTGCGATTTTTTAGCACATCCATATCTTTTCTACGTTGAATGTCTGGATCTTTTCTTTTGTGTGCGTCCATATGTGTCTTATTTGTGGCCAAATGTTTTCAAATAGTGGTGGCTCCTAGGACCTCAGTGGAACCCCACTGTATGGGGTCAGCTGTTTCCGTGTGGGCTGCTGTGAGGCAGCCATGTCTGAGCCTTTGCCTTTGGCAGTGGTTACTAAGGAATCTGGGTAGGAGGGGTGATGTCGTGGGCAGTCATGTGGTGCTCACATTCTCACACTAGCTGGAGAGCCCCAGAACTTCATCTCAGAACTGGTGGGAAGTTTATGGTTTGTCGCTGAACAGCCTGTCCCTAGGCTTGGCCCATAGGAACTAGATGCTGCTGGCAGTACTCCCCTTGCCAAAGGGCACAACTTCCTTCATATCACATGGCGGCCACAAGAGCCTCACCTTTACTACAGAGGACAGAGCAGGAAACCTCTCATGCCTCTGGCATGTTCTGGGTGCTGGACAGCCAGGCTCCAAAAGGGCAGTCAAGTCTTATTAGTGTCCAGAGATTTATGAGGGTCCTGAGGGCCACCCCAGGAGAGCCAGTGGGAGCCTGGCCCCACAGCTGAGAAGGGCCTTACCAGGCCTCAGCTGTTTATAGGGCAAGGCAGCTGTTAGGTGTATGAAATAGTAAGCTTCCTTTGGGGACCTAAGGATGGACACATAGGAGGCACTGAGGAAGTGGCTGGCTTTCTTCGGGACTGGCAAGGGTTTCTGTCCAAGTAGTTCTCAGGGTTGCCGGGTGATTCCCTCCCCTGGGAACCATCAGGCCTCCCCAGGGTGTTCAGCCCACCGGCTCCTGAGGCCAGGCAGAGGGACCACTGCCCATTGCAGCTGCAGGCATGGGGATCTGCTCATCTGTCCTCACCTTGCCATCCTGTCTGCTGCCTTGTCAAGAGCTAATTGATCCCAAGGCTAGCATTTGCAGAGTCTTGTGTTCTTGTGAGAGATGTGCTCAGTGCCAGTCCCAGAGGGACAGGCCAAGCCCCTGGGAGGCCCCACCCCTGGACTCCCTTGCCACTGTTTCTGACACCAGGTGCCCTCTGACCTGCCTGGAGGTAGAATTTGATACTGTACATTGTCTCCATGCCTGTTTTTATGTTTTCCTTTCACTAAGGGTTTTAGTTTGGGTGTATTTTTGGTCGGGTTGGCACTAATCCTTTTCTTAAGATGCTGTGAGAACCATTTCATCCAAATGCCAAATAAACGTGTTCTGGAAGAGGCGTGGTTGATCCTTGGTGTGAACCAGCTCCCCATGGTGGCAGCAGCTAGGGCACCATTTTTCAGCTGGATTCTCCTGGAATTTACAGGCATCCAGAACACCCCCTGATGTCCTTCGGCTGAGGACCAGGTGGAGCTGAGCTTGGCGCCTCTGAGCAGAGTATACAGTAAGAGGGGTTGGCCCTGTGTTCACCTGCACCCCCTGGCACCCAAACCCTGTGCCTCAGAAAATGCTGCTTCATATGGGGTCCACACTTGTGGACTTTCTCATTCTATTTAACTAGGCTGCCGTGTCATCTGACTGTGGAGAGCCAGTGTGAGGAGGGGTGTATATAAAGGAAGGTTTGGGACTTGGCCTAGACTTTTTTCTAGTCTCTCTCCTGGTAGCTGTGAATATTCCCTCCCTGCAGTACAAGTGATCTGCCTCTTTCAGGCCTTTTCATACCTGTTCTGAAACCCAGCCAGAATATCTATAGGCCTCAGGATGGGGGGAGGGGTGTGGCTATAGCCCAGAGAGCTGGGATAGCACATGTCTCTTATCTCCTTAATGTTTATGATATGGACGGAGCTCCCTCTGTGGGAGTCATCTCTAAAATAGGCTGGACATTCTTGCTTTTCTGGCAGAGTCCTGTAGAACTAGAAGAAGCAAGAGTCAATGATGGGCTTGACTCTCTGTTAGGGCTCAGTTGGTGGGAAGTGGGGGAGCCAGGCCCTACAGCACACAAAGAAGCTAAGGCCACAGGCCCAGCTGAGTTGTAGCCCTGAAGCGCTCACACAGGTTGGGCACGAGGAGCCTAGTGGAAACTGACGGGGAAATCTTGGACTCTCGGGCTCTACTGTCTTATCCCACTGCTGTACTTCCAATAAAATACACTCAACTCATGATACAGGAAGGAAGGGTCCTGGGTGACATGCCCTGGGAGGGAACCCTCAGGCTCACTTTTCTCCACTGGGAGGTGCTGTGATAGGCCAGGCTATGCAGGTGGAGGGGGAGGCAACTAGGCTGAGTGAAGGTAGTAAACTGGAGGCAGGATGTGGAAGGGCTTAAAGGTTAGGAAGAAACTTGAGTCCTTTGACAGGGATAGAAGCGTCATTCTGCCCATTCTGTCATTCCTAAACTGATGCTGGTGGCTCATGTCTGTAATCCTAGCTACTCAGAAGGCTGAAATCTGAGGATTGCAGTTCAAAGCCAGCCTGGGCAGAAAAGTACCCATGAGACTTAACCTCCAATAAACTACTCAAAAAAGTCAGAAGTCGGGGCTGGGAAGGTGGCTCAGTGGTAGAGCGCTTGCCTTGCATTCCTGAGGCCCTGAGTTCGATTCCTCAGCACCACATAAGCAAAAAAAAAAAGCTGGAAGTGGCGCTGTGGCTCAAGTGGTAGAGCACTAGCCTTGAGCTGAAGAGCTGAGGGACAGCGCCCAGGCCCAGAGTGCAGGCCCCACGACCAGACCCAAAAAAAAACAAAAAGAAGTGTCTGTGGTCCAGTGGTAGAACACTAGCGTTGAGCACAAAGAGGCTCAGGGACAACGCCCAAGTCGAGTTCAAATCCCAGAACCAAAAAGGGGAGGAAAAAAAACAAAACAGCTTCATCTCTTTGCTAGAACACATCTGTCATGGCTGGTAGGGATTCCTTGAGCCATGCCAACACCATGGCCATGCCTGAACCCCTTCACTAACATTGGAAAAGCTTGACCCCTAGCAGTTTTCCCCAGGAGGAGGGATATCAAGGGCCTTGCATGTTCCAGGCAAGCGCGCTCACTGAGCTGCACAGGAAACTAGAAAGCTGTGGCCTATTCTCCAGCACTGAAAACTGCAAGCACACCCAAGTTGAGCTGACACCCACAGGCACATGGGTGTGCAGTTGTGGAGCTCTCTCCAGGCATGTTTCCTCTCCTGGATACATTGAGCAGCAGAGGAATCACAGACCACTTTCAAAAGACCGCCACCTAGGCTCAAGCCCAGGCCTCTGCAACTGCTGCCCACCTGTGCCAGGCAGGGGCAGAGCAGGAGAGGAACAGCTTCCCTGGGATCCTTGGATAGGGTAGTTCTTGCAAAGAGATGTCAGTAGGAAGGAGGTTGTGGTCTTGGGATGGGGTTAGTGTGAGAAATATCCACATACACCCTACCACCGTTGCTCCTGATGACAACCATTTTAACTAACTTCCTTCCTTGCTGGTGACTTTAGCAAGTCGCTCCTGATCCCATCTCCATTTCCTCTACTATAAACAAGAAGGGTAGGCACACACACACGATTAATCCTGGGCATTATGCTGGCTTGCAGCACATGCTGGAGAGTAGCCCTAGGATCAGAGTGCATGCCTGGTGAGTTTAGAGCACTCCCTGGTGGCTGTGATTGAGTACAACCCACTCCCACCCTACCCAGGACTGTCCTGAGATAGCCACGCCTCTAGCCCACCCCACTAATAAATATGTAGCAGTCTCGCTAGCAGCCTGGCTCCAAGGTTTTCTGCCGCTTGCTAGTTCTCCCTAGTCACAGCTGCTGTGGCACCATGCGGGCCCTGGGTTTCCTGCTCTTTTTCCTTGAGGTGCAGCTGGTGGTGCGATCAAACTCTGAGGGTGAGCACCATAACCTTACCCATCTGGTCTCCAATCTACCCAACCCTTTGGTACTCTCTGCCACCCACTGGGTCCTACTGGTGGTGGTGGGAGGGGGAGGTAGTTTCAATGACAGGAAAACAGGTTCTGAGCCAGACTACTGGGTAAGCTTGCTTCTCACTCCTGGACCCTGGCTAGGAAGGGACTTGAAGATCCAAATGGTCTCTCAGCTCACTCTCCTGCTCACTGTCTGCAGATGCCTGGTGCTACGACTCCCAGGACCCCAAATGTGGTAAGGACAGTGTTGTATGAAGCTGTGTGAGATTGGTCTGTGTCCTGAAGCCACTAGAGGGGTTCAAACATGGCTATCATACTTCTAGGGTCTCTGCAGGCTCCTTGGTGTTCCACATGTGACTGTCCTTTGTGTGTGTCCTCATTTGCTGTGATCCCTACTCCTACTCTTACTAGTCAGGGTCTCTGAGCCTATTGGTAAGGAGGAGGTACCCAATGAAGGGTTGTAACCATGTGCCAGAATATTCTATTCTGTCTTGCTGTGGGCCAGTGGGTTTACAGACTTAGTGACTAGGTCAGATGTAGGTAAGAGGTGGAGAGGTGACCTGTCCAGGGAGCAAGGACTTCCCCAAGCCTCGGCTATTTTGGGGGGGGTTGGGGTCCATGCTCTGAGATCCCTCCCATGCAAACTTCAGATCTTATTTTCTCAGGCCCCACCCATTGGAAAGAACTAGCTCCTGCCTGTGGGGGCCCAACCCAGTCTCCCATCAACATTGACCTTCGTCTGGTCCAGCGGAACAGCACTCTAGGACCTTTCATCTTTCGAGGCTACAACTCGATACCTCCAGGCCCTTGGACTCTAGAGAATGATGGCCATACAGGTCAGCATCCTGGAGTCAGGACCTCCCTCACCCCACAGACCATGGCAGGAACTCCACACACGCTTAAAAGAACTCCCATGGCTACACAGAATCAGAGCACTCACACAGGAGCTGAAACATCAAACAGAGATCAAGTTACCCACGGAGGTTACAAACCTCTATGAGTCACTGATCCCCACACATGGGCTAAAAAGCTCTATACCGCTCCCATAGGAATAACAACTTCCACAAGAAGGCAGAACTTCCACATACAGTGGCCAACACATCTCTCTCTAATAGGTGCCAGAATTCTCTCTACAAATAAAAACTGGGTGAGCACTGAGCTCATGCCTATAATCCTGGCTACTCTAGGAGACTGAGATCTGAGCATCACAAGTTTGAAGCCAGCCTGAGCAGGAAAGTCTATGAGACTCTGTATCTCTAATTAATCACCAAAAAAGTAGGAGTGTGGCTCAAGTTGTAGAATGCCATCTCTGGGTGGAAAAAAAGCTAAGGGACTATGCCCAGGCCCTAAGTTCAAGCCCCAGGGTTGGAACACACACAAAAAAGAATTGGCTTTGGCCCCTGAAGACAGGACACACAACAGTGGGGATCCCCCTTCCCCTCAAGATCAGTTCATCTGAAAAAGTCTCGACCGCTCCACTCCCACCACCATATAGCTGGAGCCATGTCCCTCCCTTGCCCAGCTGGTGGTCCTGCAGTTCAAGCAGGGAGAAAGCCAGCATCATGTGTGCTCCCTTTACTTTAGTGCTGCTCCACGTGGATGCTGGTCTGCAGGACCACCTGGAGATTCAGGGAGGAGGGCTGCCCTCACCTGCTTACCGGCTGCTGCAGCTGCATTTCCACTGGGGAGCCTGGAGGCACACAGGCTCTGAGCACAGCCTGAATGGGCAGCGGCACTCCATGGAGGTGGGATGCTAGGGGGAGGGCTACATGGAGCTGAGGGAGGTGGGAGAGGGCAGCCAGGCACCTTCTAGGTCTTCACCTCCCCAGATGCACCTGGTCCACATGAATATAAAGTACCAGAGCATGGCAGAAGCACGAAGCCACGCCAATGGAATTGCAGTGCTGGCAGTGCTGCTGGAGGTGAGAGAGGAGCCTGGCAACTCCATGTGTGTGTTCAAAAAGGGGTTCTCTAGTTGGGTATGAATGGCTCACACCTGCAAGCCTAACTATTCAGGAGGCTGAGATCTGAACATTGAAGCTCAAAGCCAGCCAGGACAGACGCATCTCCAATTAGCCAGCAAAAAGCCAGAATTGGCCAGACACTGATGGCTCACACCTGAAATCCTAGCTACTCAGGAGGCTGAGATATGAGGATCGAGGTTTAAAGCCAGCCCAGGGAAGGAAAGTCTGTGAGACTCATCTCCAATTAAACACCAGAAAACTGGAAGTAGTGCTGTGGCTCAAAGTGGTAGAGTGCTAGCCTCAAGTAGAATATCTCAGGGACAGCTCCCAGGCCCCTGAATTCAAGCTCTATGACCAAAAAAAAAAAAAAAAAGGCTGGAAATGGGGTGTGGCACAAGTGGTAGAGCATCAGCCTTGATCAAAAATGCTGAATGAGCAGGAGGTCTTGAGCTCAAGCCCAATACCTGCACAAACAAAACCAAAATCAATAAGGGGGTTCTAGTGAGGCAGAGGTATCAGGGTGGGCCTTTGGCATCTCTGGGGGTAGTGTGAAGAGTGCTTCTCAAATCTATAAAGTGCTAGGCACCAGTGGCTCACTCCTGTAATCACAGCTACTCAGGAGGCTGAGATCCTAGTTTAAAGCCAGCCCAGGCAGGAAAGTCTGTAAGACTCTTATCTCCAACTAAGCACAAAAGACCAGAAGAGGTACAGAAGAGCTGTGGTACAAATGATAAAGTGCTGGTCTTAAGCGCCTCGGCCTGAGTTCAAGCCTCAGGATGGACGTGCGTGTGGACACACATACACACACACACACACACACTATTTATAGGGTTTGTGGGATTTAAAGGATTCCGTGGGAAGGGTAACAAGGGGAGGTGGCTTTTTCCAGGTCAGTGAGGGTAACCCATCATCCCTGGAAGCTTTCCTCTAGAAACGTCTCCCTGCTCCCAGCGTCCCTATCTTTGGAGACTCCCTCATTCAGAGACCCTCATTGAAATCCTCCTTCCCAGGAACAGGACCTTGACAACCCCAACTTCTCTACCATTGTGGCCAGCCTGACAAACGTGTCTTTACCTGGTGAGGAGCAGCACCCACTTGGGCTGGACATTTCTGGGGGCGAAGGGCAACAACATAAGACAGCAGATTCCAATCTCCTCTCTCCTTCTTTGTCCAGGGGTTTCAAATCTGACATCCACCTTCCCACTGGCCTCGTTACTGCCAGGCACCTCTGGACTCTCCAGATATTACCGCTACATGGGGTCCCTGACCACCCCGGGTTGCGAGCCATCAGTGCTCTGGACAGTCTTTGAGAACACTGTTCCCATCGGACGCTCCCAGGTGAGGCCATGATCACGAACCACTGACCACCATGGTGAGCCAGGGCCCTCCTGCTCACAGCATTACCCCTTCCCTGCCTATGTCCTTCTTGTCTTGACCAGTCTTTTCCTTGAACTCTCAGGTAGCCCAGTTCCAGACTGTGCCCCAGACCCAGCTACCAGGTTTGCACCCCAGGCCGCTCACGGATAATTTCCGCCCCCAGCAGCCTCTTGGGGGTCGCAGGATCTGGGCCTCTCCCGGAGCTTCCATCCGTGGTGCAGCAGGCCCATCCTCCAACCACACTCAGGGAGGGTTGCACTGGGTTCTGCTGGGCTTGGGGCTCAGCCTGTGGCTCTGGCATGGCCCCTAGATCCAAGCATGGCAATAAAGAAGGCTTAGAGTGACTCTGGCCTATTGTGATTGGGGAAGGGGCTGGGCTGGGCTGGGCGGAGTTGCCTCCCTCCAGGGAGGATTCCTGCCCCAATCCCTGTAGCCTCAGTTTGCTGTCTGTATAATGAGGAGACTCCTGAGAGAGCCTCCGATTCCCCCACCACAGCCAGCTCGTACCCTCTACCCAAATCTCCAGGACCACCCCTAGATCCTTCCAGAGTCACCTGGTCAGATGGGAGGAAAAAAGACAGAACATCTTAGAAAAGCCTGTCACATCTGCAATCCTAGCTCCTCGGGAGACTGACTCAAGGTTTGAAGCTAGCCCAGGCAGAATCTGTGAGACTTCATCTCTAAAATAGTCATCAAAAAGCAGGGCTAGAGGTGTGGTTGGGGCTGTAGAGTACTGACCATGAGCAAGCAAGCTGTGGGAGAGCTTGAGTCCCTGAGTTTAAGCCACAGTACTGGCAGAAAGAGAGACAGAGACAGAGACAGAGAGAAGGAGGAAAGTAGGGAGGAAGGAAGGAAGGAAGGAAGGAAGGAAAGAAGGAAGGAAGGGGACACAGATCACAGTGGCTCACTGTGATCTGAGGATCGTAGTTCAAAGGCAGCCTGGACAGAAAAGTCTCTGTGAGACTCTTTTCTCCAATTAACCACTTAAAAACTGGAAGTGGAGCTGTGGCTCAAAGTGGTAGAGCACTAGCCTTTAGCAAAAGAGCTCAGAGACAGCACCCAGGCCCTGAGTTCAAGCCCCACGACCACCACCACTAACAACAACCCAACTTTATTCCAAGATCATGCATTTTATTTAAAAACCAAGCTGGGTGGGGCTGGGAAGGTAGCTCAGTGGTAGAGTGCTTGCCTTGCATGCATGAGGCCCTGGGTTCGATTCCTCAGCACCACATAAGCAAAAAACGAAAAAGCCGGAAGTGGTGCGATGCCTCAAGTGGTAGAGCACTAGCCTTGAGCTGAAGAGCTGAGGGACAGCGTCCAGGCCCAGAGTTCAGGCCCCACGACCGGACCCCCCCCCCAAAAAAAAAAAAAAAAACAAGCTGGGTGATCAACCTAGGGAAAATATGCCTAGTTAAATGACAACCCCAGGAGAGGAAGTAAAAGGTTGCAGACTCTGGTGGGCCAGGCTTCACTGTGTTAGTGGTTCCTGGTGACAGATAGCTAGCCAAGTGGTGAAGCCATGTCCCTGTACAGTCTGGGAAGTCAGGCTGTGGAGTCTTGAGTACAGAGCCACACTGTGGGGGAGATGCTGGCTTGTAAGCAACTGGTATAAGTGTTCTTTGTGTCACTGCCCAAAGCAAACTGAGTCCAAATGACATAGAGTAAATGAGACTGTCCAGTGAGAGGAGAAAGCCCGCAGTCAGCAGAGTAAGGCAGGCAAGCTAGGCTGCAGCCCAGTTGATGGCATGTGGAGCGTGTGTCGATGTATTGGGGTTGCACTGACTGCAGGCCACAGTGTCTCAGCCACCCACTTGCGCCACATCTATTACATCGCGTGTGGACATTTGAATCCAGAAGCTGTTTCCGCCCTAGAACTTTCTTATTTGTAATCACACCCCCCCCCCACCCCTAGGAGTCAGATTGCAGACCCCCAGGCTATGCCTGCTGCCACTCCCTGGTCCCCCAAAAAGGGCTCTATGGGCCCCGGCCAGCCCACACTCAGTTTCCAACGGTGATCATCTGCCCCTGCCCGCCAGAGCCATTCTCCGCCAGAGGACTGCCAGGCCGGGCAGCATCTGCCCCCCACCCTCCAAAGGCACAAGCTCTGGCTAGTAGTGCCTGGAGTCTCCCCGTGAGCCGCGGAGAGGGCGGATCTGCCTCTGGGGATACCAGAGCCTTTTGGGCTAGCAGGCAACTTCTGCACCTCTCCCAGGTCAGCCGTAGGTGTGCCCATCCTCAATCTCCTCCACCTTGCTGGGCTCCAGGTGGCACTGGAGTTTTCTTATGGTTCTTGCGTGCTGGGATTCGATTGGCGCCGCCGTCGGCAGGGTCATCAAGGGTGTCGTCCGCAGGTTTCGTGGCTGCCACGAAAGCGTTGACCGTGCCTAGAGCCCGTAGCAGGGAGGGGCCGCGGTGCGCGGCGCGGGGAGCCGCCCGGGGCTCGCGGCGCGGGGCCGGCGGCGGGGGCTGCGGTGGCAGCAGCGCGCGCAGGGCGTCCAGCTCGGCCCGAAGCTCCGCGCGCAGCGCCTCGAGCCCCACGCCCAGCTCGGCGCGCACGGCCGCCAGGCCTTCCTGCAGCCGCCGCTCGCTCACCTCGAGCACGCCCGCGGGGTAGGTGGCCCCGCCGCGGGGCTCCCCGCACACGGAGCACACCGAGCCACTGCTGCGCGCATCCGTCCTCTCGCTGATCCCCGTCGCGCCAGCGCCCGCGCGCTCCACCACCCGCAGCAGCCGCGGCGCCTCGGCCCGCGCCGCCGCTGCCTCGGCCCGGAGTTGTCCCCGCAGGCGAGCCAGTCGGCCTGGGGCGCGGATGTCCTCCGAGACTATTGGCCCATTGGTCTGCGATCCCGGGTCCTGCCGGCGGCCTGCGCCTCGCCGCAAAGCTTCGCTGGCACCATAGACGCTGCGCGCTTGAGTCCACGAGCGTCCGGACTCCGCCGCCATCCTGCGCTGCCACCAATCCACGACTGCCACCAGCACCTCTGCCTGGCCCCAGCCCGCAGCCTAGCGACCGATCGCGGGGTGGGGAGGAGTGGGGGCGGGCGACGCGCCCTGGAGAGGGCCTCTGGGACGGCTGTGGGAACGACCAAGGTAGCCAAGGGAATCCGGCCCGGGGCCCGGGGAACCCGGGCAGGGCCAGGCCCTAGGCAACTGGGGTTCCAGGGAGCCCTGGGGGACAAGGTCTATGGGACCAGGCATGGGTGTGTGGGACTTGCCCACGGGGATCACACTGTCCATTGGGGCCGAGCTGGTTTCTGCAAGACATGACAGGACTTGGAGGAACTGGCTGGAAAACGCAGGCACCCCCAGACTGAACCCCAGCTCAAACCTATTAGAAGCTGCGGTCTCCATCATAGAGACCACACAGACCTCACTGGCTCAGTTATCACCTCTCTCCAGGTGAAGAGGAGCCCCAGGGCCTCCTGGGTGCTAGACAAGCTCTCTGCCTCTGAGCTACACCTCCAGTCCAGGCCACTGTAAAGGGTGCCTGTGTCCACACGTGGCTGCAGAATTCCATCCTGCTCTGCCTTGCCAACTTCTTCAGGACTAGATGTGTCCCAGTGCTCTCTAAAGTTTTCTGAGGCCCAGACACTGGGGGCTCACACCTATAATCCTATCTACTTGGAAGGCTGAAAGCTGAACATTGTTAGTTTGAGACCAGCTTGGGCAGCAAAGTACAAGAGACATCTCCACTTAACCAACATAAAGCCAAAAGTGGTGCTGTGGCTCAAGTGGTAGAGCACCAGACTGAAATGAAAAAGCTACAGGACAGTACCCAGGCCCTGAATTGAAGCTTCAGTACCAGCAGCAAAAATAAATAAATAAAGCTGCTGAGGTCCTAATGCTTCACACCGTGTCCTAACTTCACCCCCATGCCTTTTTTCATCTTTTCTTTATTGGTACTGGGAATTGAACCCAGGATGTTGCACTTGCTAGGCAAGTGCTTTGCCACACAGCTACATCCCAGCCCTGGCCTCACCCTTTTAAGCTCTCCTAACTCAGCAACAACCTTCAACTCTCTCTGACTTTGCATAGGCCCCTGCTGCCCTTGACCATCATTGTTCTGTGGTTCTCATTCATCCCACTGAGGCCTGAAGCACCTCTCTCTCCCCTTTCTTCTTCTTCTTCTTCTCCCCCTTCCCCTCTCTTTTGGTGACAGTGCCAGGACTTGAACTCAGCCTGGGCATTGTCTCTGTGTTTTTCTTTTTCTCAAGGCCAGCTCCTTACCACTTGAACTGCCGCTCCACTTTGGCTTTTTTGTTTTGGTAGTTAACTGGAGATAAGAGTTTCAGAAGCAGGGCTGGGAAGGTGGCTCAGTGGTAGAGCGCTTGCCTTGCATGCATGAGGCCCTGGGTTCGATTCCTCAGCACCACATAAGCAAAAAAAAGAAAAAAGCCGGAAGTGGCGCTGTGGCTCAAGTGGCAGAGCGCTAGCCTTGAGCTGAAGAGCTGAGGGACAGCGCCCAGGCCCAGAGTTCAGGCCCCACGACCGGACCCCCCCCCCCCCAAAAAAAAAAAGAGTTTCAGAAGCTTTCCTGCCTGAGATGGCTTTGAACCACAGATTTCAGTCTCCTGTGTAGCTAAGATTACAGGTGTGAGCCACTGGCACTCGGCTTCCAGAGGCCTTTCTTGACCACCCATTCCCATAGCAGGTAACACAAGTCCCTTATCCTAGCACAGCTCATAGCCTTTTTATTTTTATTTTTATTATTTGGTTGGTGGTCCCAAGGTTTGTCCTTCTTGCTGCTCTCTACCACTTGAGCCATGCCTCCAGCTCTGCTTTTTATTGGTTATTTTAGAGATGGAGTCTAGTGAGTTTTTTTTTCTAGAGAGAATAGGTTTAAAGTTATAAGCCACTAATATTCAACCACAAGCCTTTTGTTGTGAGACAGGGTGGGGTTTTGCTACATTCCCCAAGCTGGCCTCAAATTCCTGAATTCAAGTGATCTCCTATGCCAGCCTCTTGTATAGCTGGCTATTCAACCACAGTGAGGGCTCTGAACCGAGGGCTAGGGTGGCCTTTGAACAGGAGGCCCAAGACCACGTCCTGGGTGTTCACCAACTTCTCTCATGTCCTCTAGCCAACTGGTATACCTTCTCATCTAGGCATCTAGGCCCTCCTAGCTGTCCCTGCAGAACCCCTCCCCTGAACACCCTATTCTCACTCCCTCTGTACATGCCCTTCATTCTATGCCATCATGGTGGGCTGTGAGACCCTCTAAAGGGCAGCATCTCCCCACCAGGCATGTTGTTTGCACCGCATCCCTAGGGGCTAGTTAGGACTCTGGGTGCTCTGGCTCTGAGGCCTCCCCAGCAAATTGTGAGGAAGGAGGGACTGGCATAGAGCCAGGTGGGCTGGATAGAGAAACTGTAAGACAGCTGATGGAACCTAGGTCCCTAGAGGGCATGGAGGCTGGCACAGAGTGTCTGGCTATGTGTATGTATATACAGGGACTAAGGGATGCTGTTGACTTGTTCTTGGGCAGCCACTTCAGAAAGCCACTGACTCCCTTTACTTCACTCATTCCTTCATTGCAGCTATATGGAAGGTGCAGAGGGTAGATGAGAATTTGGTGTTCTTCAACCTCTCAGACTCCCCTCCCCCATTCCCGCTGAGTCACCTGCTCCCCCAGGGGCCTTCAGCATCTGGCTTTGCGGATCCCTAGAGCCTCATTAACCATACCCCCACACCAACCCCAATGCTGCTGCCTCAAGAGTCCTAGGTCCTTCCCCGGGTCTGCCGGAGTCAGGCTGTGTGACCCAGGGGCTCTGCCTCCTGTCATCCAAGTGTGCACCCATGAAGTGCAGGAGGATCCTAAGATCCCGGGATGGAATGGCATGGAAGTCAAGAGGTGGGAAGGTGGGACTCTAGGTTTGCAGACCAGCAGATAGGAGTGTGAGAAATCAGGGAGCTTGGAAGGGGCAAAGGCTAGTTTGATCTTGCTGCTCCTGTCTAGGAGGTTTATGGACAGGCTGGGATACAGGCTCATCTTTTTCCCCCTTTCTTTCTTTCTTTCTTTCTTTCCTTCCTTCCTTCCTTCTTTCTTTCTTTCTCTCCCTCCTTCCTTCCTTCCTTCCTTCTCTCTCTCTCTCTCTCTCTCTCTTTCTTTCTTTCTCTTGCCTGTTATGAGGCTTGAACTCAAGGCCTGGGTGTGGTCCCTGAGCTTTTTCACTCAAGGCTAGTGCTCTACCACTTTGAGCCACAACACTACTTCTTGTTTTCTGGTGGTCTCACAGACTTTCCTGCTCCGACTGGCTTTGATTTATAATCCTCAAATCTCAGCCGCCTGAGTCGATAGTCTTACAGGCATGAGCCACCAGTGCCTGGCTCAGGCTGAATCTTTGCCAGGAGTTCAGGTTGGGGCTGCAGATGTGAGACCTTACCCTGGAGGCAGAGTGTCCCAGAGCCATGGTTTGTACAGGAAGGAGGGAGGATATAAAGCAAGTTAGTGACAAGGAAAGGATGCTGAAACCAATTTACCCTAGGACACACTTATGAGTTCTATCTCCTAGGTTCTATCACTTCTCTAGTTCCTTCCATGGCCATTCGCGTAATTAGTGGTCTAGTTGTGGTTAGGACTTCTCCAGAGGGGTAGAAAAACTCTGGGCCGCGCCGGGCGCTGGTGGCTCATGCCTGTAATCCTAGCTACTCAGGAGGCTGAGATCTGAGAATCGCGGTTCAAAGCCAGCCCGGGCAGGAAAGACTGTGAGACTCCTATCTCCAATAAACCACCAGAAAACCGGAAGTGGCGCTGTAGCTCAAGTGGTAGAGCGCTCGCCTTGAGCTGAAGAGCTGAGGGACAGCGCCCAGGCCCAGAGTTCAAGCCCCCCAACCGACAAAAAAAAAAAAAAAAAAAGAAAAACTCTGGGCCAATTCTAACAAAACTGAGGCTCCTGCACAATGGAAATGTTAGTGTTCTTAGCCTGCCCTTTGCACAATTCCCCTACTGAAGTTACGCATATGGGTCACATTTCATACATATACAAAACTGCAAGGCATCCTTATGCATGGCAGATCCTTTCCCAAAAAATCTACCCAATTATGTCCTTCATTTTCTTTCTTTTTTTATGAAGTTATGTTTTTATTACTAAATCAGCAGGATCAGTTCATTACATTGATGGATTTTATTGCTGAAAATGCTTAGAAATGGGGTTGAAGGAAGCCCAAGGAGAGGGTGCTTATTTCACATGGGAGGCCTGGGGCTGGTCCCCAACACCTTCACTATGATTAAAAAGAGGAAGATCTGGATGGGTACTGGGGTCTCACGCTTGTAATCCTAGCTTACTCAGGGCACTGAGATCTTTGGATCGAGGTTTGAAGACAGTTCGGACAGGAAATTCTGTGAGACTCCTATCTCTAATTAGCTTGAGTTAATGGCTCAAGTGGTAGATGACCAGCCTTGAGTACAAAAGCTCAAGAATAGTACCCAGCCAGGCCTTGAGTTCAAGCCCCAGAACCTGCACAAAAAAAAAAGAAAAAGAAAAAGAAAAGCCAGGCACCAGTGGCTCAAGCGTGTAATCCTAGCTACTCAGGAGGCTGAGATCTTAGGATCATGGTTCAAAGCCAGCCCAGGAAAGAAAGTCTGTGAGACTCTTATCTCCAATTAGCCACCAGAAAACCAGAAGTGGCACTGTGGCTTAAGTGGTAGAGCGCTAGCCTTGAGCTGAAGAGCTGAGGGACAGCACCCAGGCCCAGAGTTCAAGCCCCACCAAAAAAAAAAAAAAGTTTGTGTGACTTCAGCTATAGGCTGGTGCTCTGAGAAGACACTATGAGTTTTGTAGGAGGGCCTTGAGGTCTGCAAATGTTTTGCTGTCATGGAAGGGTGGGGCCCTGAAAACATTCCCCTGAGAACAAGCAGAGACAGGATCTGGGTTTCAGATGCTGTGGGGTTTTTTTTGTTTTTGTTTTCAATTTTTTTTATTGTGATTAAGTGGCCACATAAT